CTCTTGTACAGAGAATGAACCAACGGTTGGGAAGCACACTGTGCAATTGAGCCCTGTTGTGAAATATTCCACGCTTCAGTTAACAGTAACAGAACCTTCAGTAAAATTCCTCAGTGCTTTAAAAAATTTTGTGTGTATGAATATTTTGTTTGTGTGCCCCTGGATCTGGTGTTATGGATGGCTGTGAGCCATTATGTGGGTGCTGGGAATTTGAACCCAGATCCTAGGAAAGAAAAACAAATGCTCTTAACTACTGAGCAATCTCTCCTGGCCCATCCAAGTATTTTCTTTTTTTAATTTAAAGATTTCAAAGGGCAAGTTAAAACCCCCAGTGGTAGCAACACACAAATGTAGAGTGAATCTGGTCATTTCCATTGACTGTGTTGTTTATATTTAGCCAAGCATTAAATACTGGTGATCAGTGCTTCCCAGACCTGTCCCTAACAAGGACAATCAACTGTGTAGAACCATTTTCTAGGAGTGAAACACAGGTAGCTATTTTTAAGTTTCAAGGGCAATTTAAGCTTGCTTCAGCTTTGAGATGCCATGAGTTTATGGCATTGTACTATTTTAACTTTAAAATTAACAGAAGCTGGTATTGAAATTGAGCTTTAAAATATCACTCAGCTTTACAGTCTACCCAGAGGGTATATGGCACATGGCAAACTGTAGGAGGCATTCAGAGGATCCACAAATGGTCAAGAAATCAGAGAGGGTTGGAGGAGTGGGAGGTGTTGTATTTAAATATATATCTTAAAGATTAGTCCTGTCATAATGCAAAAGCTACAATATCAAGAAATAAAATATAGGGTGATATCTTAGAGTATCTCAGATACAACAGTGAAATTAAAACCATCCAATTTATTTTAATTGATAAGCTGAAATTCCTCAAGGTAAAACACACCTGCTTAGTATAAGGGAGTATTAAATTGGGCAGGCTTTTAATCCCAGCACTCCGAAGGCAGAGGCAGGTGGATCTCTAAGTTTGAGGCCAGCCTGGTCTACACAAGAGCTAGTTACTGGACAGCTAGGGCTACACAAAGAAATCCTGTCTCACAAAACCAAAACACAAAACAACAATAAAAAGAGCATTAATAAATTCAAACAAAACCTACATACTGGTAAAAATAATTTCAATACATATACCTGAAAAGGATATATTAAAAATATTTAAAAACTGTAACTCAATAATTTGACAAAGCAATTTTTTAGTAATTTATTTTTATGTGCATTGATGTTTTGTCTGCATGTGTCTGTGTGAGGGTTTCAGATCTTGAAGTTACAGACAGCTGTTAGCTGTCATGTGAATGCTGGGAATTGAACCCTGATCCTCTAAGAGCAGTTAGTGCTATTAGCCCCTGAGCTATGTCTCCCAGCCATAATTTTTTTTAAATGGCAAAACATTACATGTCAAAGGAAAACACAGGAATGGACAATAAGCACATAACTCATTGAGAATGGGGATATGTAAATTAAAAGCACATTGAGATATTATTGAACACCTACATTGATTTGACTGGCTGAAGTTGAACAGATTTAACAAATTTTAAATGCTAAAAAGCAATGTATACATGACTCCTGAATGTTTTTCAGCTAGATCTGAGAATTAAATTGTCCTAAAGACCCAAACAATAAAAGGAGCCAAGAGTTCAACAATTATACATTGAATTAGACAATAAAAAAAAAATTAAGTTGTGAGCAGCAAAAAAACAAACAAACAAACAAATAAACAAACAAAAAACAAATTACATGGTGAGATTGACAGTTGGGGGTAACTTTAATAAGGTTTGAATAACTCTCTTGGGTTCCCCATTCATGGTAATAAGAGGACAGCATTGCTTCTAGCAAAGGCAGTGCATCCATAGCAACTTCATCTCTTATCTTCGGGAAACAAAGATCAGAGTCATCTTTTTGTACCTGTTTTTTTTTTTAATTTTTAAAATTTATTTATAAGTTGTTTCTTCATTCTACATACCAACCACAGTTCCCCCTCCTTCCCCTTCCACCCACTCCCATGGGGAGTCAACAAAGTCTGGCATATCTAGTTGAGGCAGGACCAGGCTCCACCCCCTTACTTCAAGGTTGAACAAGGTATCACAACATAGGGAATGGGCTCCAAAGTCAGTTCATGAGCTAGGCACAGATCCTGGTCCCACTGCCAGTGGAAGTGTCTTTAACTCAAAATAGTAAATATGTTAATGGACTCATTAAATCCTTCACTTGTAAGCATTTCCAGCCTGGGCTGTGGTGGCACACCTTTAATCCCATTACTAGGGGTACTAAGGAGGCAGAGGCACAAGGATTTCTGAGTTCAACTCCAGCCTGGTCTACTGAGTGAATTCCAGGACAGGCTCCAAAACTAGAGAAACAAACAAACAAAAAATTTGTAGTGAGAATACAAGTGATGAAACCATTGTGTCTGCTCAATTCTGTTTTAATTTTATATGATGTTTTGCCTGAATCTTTGTGTACCATAAGTGTGCAGTGCCTATGAATTGAGAAGGGGTCATGGAATCCCCTGGAACTGAGCTAGACTGTTGTTAGTTGCCATGCAGATGGCAGGGAATTGAACCCATTCCTTAGAAGAACAGCCTAGTCATCTAGAAGAGAACCCAAGTCTTCTCAACAAGGCATCTCTTCTCAGCTCCCTCAGCTTTTATCACTTCTGATCTGTCCTTTCTATCTGTCCTCTCTGATTCCTTTGCTGCTGTCCTGATGCTATTGTCACTGCCTTTGTCATCTTCTTTTTCTATCACTAGCTCAATCCATTCTATTAGTGTTTTTAGGAAGTGCCACTCAAGAGAAGCCTTTAACTGGGTTTTAAGCCTCAAAACATGTGGCAATCAATTACAACAGTGCACGAGAAACTGTGCCTTGGTTGGCATGAATTCCCCTTCTTCTGGCTATGTGTAAGCATGCTACTCAGCTTTACTTCATGGGCCAGCCAGGAGACTCTTGGAATTCTGAGAATTGCATGGGCTTTCAAAATCTTAAAGACCACTCCCAGTGACAAAGATCCTCCAGTGTTACACCTCTTAATCTTTCCATAACAGTCCCAGCAACTGGTGACCAAACATTCAGATAGGCACAGGGCTCATTCAAACCACCACAAACAGTATGCCCCAGGGCCCTCATTTCTTTCCAGAAGGACAGCTTCAAAGGGACCACTATCCACACCACAAACTTCCTTACAGGGTCTGAGAGACCTGACACTTTAAGATACAAATCATAACAGTATCCCAGAATCCTTTTCAGAGTTCCAAATCTTCTCTGGAGGCCAGACCTTACACTGAGAGTTATAGCCACTGAACCTGGAAATTTAAATGCAATGGGAGTAATAATTCAGAGCACAGGGTTAAACAAACTACCAAAGGCAAGGCCTGGTTTTCACAAAGGATAGCAGAGCAAAAGACAATCAAAATAGTATGACTGCATCATAAAGCCACATGTGCCCAACCTAAATATGCCCTAAGAATTAGTGCACTCTCAAAATCAATCTCTCTCTTTCTCTCTCAACCTCTCAATCTTTCTCTTTCTCTCTCTCCCTGTCTCTCTCTCCCTCTCTCTCTCAACATGGGACTTGCTATCTTCGTGACTAAGCCAGGAAGGAGACAGTGAGTCCTAGTATTCTGTGTCCACGTGTCTCAGGCCTGGGGTGTCAGGCTTATTACATTTGTACTAACACTCAAACTCTGGTCCTCATGACTGTGCTATAAGCACTCATAATCCCTGAGCCCTATCTCAGCCCCATTAATGATAATTGTAGACAGTGTCATACAAAGTAGTAGTCCACAACAGACCTGATTATTGTGCTTTCCTTCTATATATTTATTTATTATGATTAAAGGCTATAAGCATCTACAGGGTACTAGAAGGAAAGAATGACTAACATAAATTTTCAATGTTTATACAACTAAATAAAAATAAATAAGTAGCCTTGGCTGGCCTGGGACTAGCTATGTAGACCAGGCTAGCCCTGAACTCATCGTCTGTTTCTGCCACCGTAGTGCTAAGATTAAAGAGGATTAAAGGTGTGTGTCACCAAACCTGGCATAAATAAACCTTTAAAAGAAATAAGTAAAAGGTATCATGATTCTGGGGACAAATTAGGAGGGGTGGTAGATGCAATTAAATACATCTTAAACAGAAAATACTGTAACTTCATTAAATGAAAACTGAATCACCGGGCTATATGAGGTTCTATATAATTTTATATTATATACACATTCAGAGAATATACAAGTGACAAATTCTCTAAAAATCTAATATACGCTGTCTTTCAGATTTCCTTAGCTTGGGCACGGTAGTGCTTGCCTTTAATTCTAACAACTGGGAGGCAGAAGCAGATGGATCTAAGTTGCGGGCCAGCCTAGTCTACACAGGGGGAGTTCCTAAGACAGCCAAAGCTACACAAAGAAATAGTCTCAGACCAAAAGGAAAAAAACAATCAGATTTCTAATATATCTAAAAAGTAACAGGCTAATTTTTAAAAATGTAGGTTTATAGGTCAAGCTACGTGTCTTAGTTTAGAACTGGGGTAGAGCCAAGGAATCTGGACATGATTAAATAACCCAGTGACTTTGATTAAAAAGAGCACACATAACAAGGTTACTATGGAGTTAAGGGTGCCCTTATTTCTATTTGAAGTGAAAAGGAAACTGATGACAGGGAGATCAGAGTGAGCATGATGAGTAAATAAAAGCAGATGCAAGAGCAAGCCAAAGTGCTTTAGCCTTTCTACTCTATCAGAAGAGAAAGAACTCTCAAATCAAGCTAAAACCATCGGGGGATATGGAATAGGGGAAAAACTTTAATACTGATCTTAAAAAAAAAAAAAAACATTGATTTGATCATAGTGCAATGTAAGCTGCAAAGCAAGAGATGGTTCAGAATGAAATGATAAAGGTAAAGATTAAAGAGATACATAATAGAAAACAAAATGTCAAAAGACATTTTCATAACAAATGCTGAATGTCTTTCACATATCTAAGAGTAGGCAATAGAAATTAAATATATAATATATATACTATGAACATAATATCAGGAATAATAATCTTCAATGGCATTTCAGACGTGTACTTCCATGATTCGTAATGTTCCATCAGAATTCAGCAGCAGTTTGTGTTGCCTGAAAAGAATATCAAAAAGACCTATAAATACTTTATATTAAAACTACTAAGCCATGATCCAGGCTGCTATGGGTGTAGCAATACTTGCCCAGCATTTTCAAAGGCCTACATTCAAATCCTTGAAAACCAAAGCAAACCCCTAAGTCATTATAAACTAAAACCAGACCTATGTTCTTAAAGACAGAAGAAGCAATGTTTATATTCTCTACTATATTATAATACACATATATGTATTATATTAACACACACACACAAGCAGTTAGGACTTTACTGTGAAACATATAAAGATTCTGTCAAGAATAAATTATTTTTCTAAAATTGAAATGTAAAAAATTATTATGGATATAAGACACACTTAGGTTACATTGTATGGCAATGTACATACTGTACCGAGGCGATCTATAAAGAAAGAGGGATGCTAGTAGGAGCAATAAAAGACTAAGGAAGATCTAGTCTCAATGGGGATAGGGGATCTAGATATACAGAGGCAGAGTGAAGGAGGAAAGTGGCGTTGATATATCAATCTCAGAAAGAACTTCTTCTATATTAGAAGATATCAACAAAGTCTCATAGTTTATTAAAAAAATCAAATCCCTAACTGCTGTGAAAGAGAGAGGAGAGAATGAAGACAGGTACATAAATACACTGCTTTATTTTATTATTATTATTTTTTTACCTTCTTTTAATGGGGTCTTGAGGGCAAAATTCTCTTTAGATTCATGATGAAAAGCCTTGGAAGGGTCAAAGTGTTTAATGCCCAGAGCTTTATCTAATTCTCTCTGAAGTCTGAGCTCATTTTGTTTCCTTTTAACAAGCTGAGATCGGAGTTTTGACACCTCCTAAGTAAGAAAAATTAAATACTCACTAAAATACACAGTAGCAAAATGTGTTATTATTGTTGCAGATATTCCAGTAAAATATGGTATTATTGTTGCAGATATTCCAAATAGTTCCTTATGTATCATAGCTAGTGGTAAAAATGACTATTAAACATTCAATAAGACTTAATTACATAGTGAATTTGGAACATAATACACAAAATAAACAAAGCATTTTAAATTTTCTTGTCCTTCTAGAGTTATGAGTATATTTTTCTGATCAAAAGTGGAGTGAAAAAAAAAATGCCACCAAATCAACTATTTTTTTTGTTTGTCTTCAAGACAGGGTTTCTCTATAGCTTTGGAGTCTGTTCTAGAAACTCACTCTGTAGACTAGGCTAGCCTCAAAAATCACAGAGGCTGCTGCTTCTGCCTCCCAAGTGCTAAGATTAAAGGTGTTGCAGACAGGTGGATCTCTGAATTTGAAGCCAGCCATAGATTGAGTTACAGGACAGTAAGGGTTCCACAGAGAAACCATCTTGAAAAAAGCAAAAACCAAACCAAACCAAACAGAACAGACCAAACCAATCAAGAAAGAAAAGAGGAAGATCAAAGAGCTTGGGGAAGCTGGGCGATGGTGGCACATACCTTTAATCCCCAGCAACAGGGAGGTAGAGGCAGATGGATCTCTGTGAGATCTCTGGTTTACAAAGCAAGTTCTAGGACAGGCTCCAAAGCTATGCAGAGAAAGAATAGAGTAGAAAAGAACATAGGAGGCTAATGGGGGGAGAATGTGATCAAAGCATATTATATTACATATGGAAATTATATACTATGCACATTATTTTCTTAATGTATTCCATAAGTAAAATATAAATTAACCTTCTAGAAGGAAAACAAATTAATGTTTTGAATACAGTTTCTCTTCATGGTATTTAGAAATAGGAGTGCCTGAGTAAAACTGAATATCCATCTGGTCAACACTGAATAAGTCCATCAAGTCTCAGATGAATTCTACCCTATAAATTGTTCACTTTTTAAAAAGTTTTTGGTATATCTGAATACAAGTGTTATTTTACAAACCGATTTGAGTTGGCTATTTTCATCTTTCAATTTCACAACATGCTTGATTTTTTGCTTTAGATTCTGGTGACCCAGTAGCTCTGCATACGAATCTCTGATTTTATTTAGCTGTTCCTGAGTTGCACCACGTTCATTTAGCAATGCCTGTTTCTCTGCTTCAAATGCATCCAGTTGTTGCTGGAAAAGATATATATGTTTATGTTTTTAATGGAACTAAGAATTAAACTTGTTGAACTTGTGTGTCCTTCTGCTTCTGCCAACACCAGTAATTAAAAGCATTTATGATTAGGTCTGGCCTAAAACTGTTAAATCTTACTAAGTTCATATAAAGCACAAATATAAAGAAAATAAAAAATAATATAAGCAGTAGTCCAACTTTTCTTGATGGCTCTTTAAATTCTCTAAGAAAATCTTTTAAGCTTTGCATTTTTCATCTTAAGTATCATCAAAACAGAAAAGCAATAAAGAACTGGCCAGCTTTCTTAACTTATTAGCAAAATATCAACTTTATAACCAATACCTGCTTCCATTCCAATTCAGACCATTTTTTCTTTGTTTGTAGGCTTTTTTGTTATGTTTCACTATGTAGCCCTGTCTCTCCTGGAATACATTATCAGGCTGGCCTTGAACTTTATCTACTTGTCTTTGCCTCCAGTGTGCTGGGATTAAAGCCATGTGACACCATGCCTGCAACCTTTTCCTTATAAAAAGATCAGAGTATTAACATGAATGGTGGTCAGAAGGCAGAAGCAGGAGGATCAGAAATTCAAGGCCATCACCAGCTATACAGAATGTTCCAGGACAGCCTAGGGTTTCAAGAACAAAGGCTGATATTTATAAGGTTAGAACTTGGGAAGCAGGAGGAGGAGGAGCCAGGCCAGGCTGCTTGGCACAGGCGAGTACCAGGCTAGCCTGGGTTATAGAGCAAGACTTCATCTAAACACCATAGGACAAACTATATAGTACACAAAGATCGGTAGAGAAACTTGAGAAATATTGAAATAGGTCATATAAAAATACACATCATAGGCCGGGCGTTGGTGGCACATGCCTTTAATCTCAGGACTCGAGAGGCAGAGGATGGCAGATCTCTGTGAGTTCAAGGCCTGCCTAGTCTACAGAGCTAGTTCCAGGACAGGCTCCAAAGCTACAGAGAAATCCTGTCTCAAAAAAAACAACAAAACAAAACAAAAACAAAAAAACAAGCAAACATCCAAACATCATAAATTAACAGGTAAGGGATCAATCAGGAGAGCCTTAAGGACTACTAATTTCAAGTTGTTTATTAGAAAGCACGTCTCATCACTACTTTAAAATTTTACGACTACCAAAATTTTCAATTGTATTTCAATAGAACTGGAGAAATTATAAATTATAATTTTTAGTCCTTTACTTTTAGTTTTATTATTTTAATGTAGTGCTGGGAATTGAACCCCAAGCCTTGTATGTGTCACACTCTACCACTGAGCACATCCCCAGATTTAAAAAACAAAAACAAACAAACAAACAAAACATTTTTTTTTTTTTTTTTGAATTTCAAGACAGAATTTCTCTGTGTAACCTTGGCTGTCCTCTAACTCAGAGATCTGCCTGCCTCTGCCTCCCAAGTGCTGGGTACCAGATAAAATCTGAAAACTGTTAATATGTGGTTAAATTGTAACCATGACTGCAAAAGAACCAATTCATAGCCAAGATTAACAAGATAGAAATACGTTCTTAAAATAGATCCAAGAAAGTTTGTTTTTACTTTATGTGTATGGTATTTTGCCTGCATGTACATCTATGTACTACCAGGCTCATGCAGCCTCAAGGAGGTGCTGGATCCTCTAGAACTAAAGTTACAATCAGTTGGGAGCCACCATGTGGGTGCTAGGAATTGAACATGGTTCCTCTGGAAGAACAGGTAGTACTCTTAACCACTGAGCCATCTTTCCAGCCAAAAAAAGTTTATTATAAGCAACAAACCTGAAAAGGTTTAGTCTTGTTATATAGTTCTTCATAAAGGAGACGCCATTTATTACTTTCCAAAGTTAACTCTGCCACTGCATCTTCTTTCTCTGCCTTTCTGTATGGGAAAATTAAATTTTAAAAAATTTTCAATTTATTAGAAAAAAACCAATGCATTTCATGGCACCCAAGGTCTGAGCCCAAATTACCTTGCTTCTTCCTCTTCGAGTTGCTTCTTAAAGTCCTCATCTTGTTGTCTGAGTTGATTTTGCAAATCAGCTATTTTCTTAAGAGACGAAGATGTGATTTCTTTAATTTCTGCTTCTTTCAATGTTGATCTGTTTTGCAGATCTAGAAGCATCCTTAGATTGGATTTGAGAAAGAAGAGTCCACTAAATATCTGACAGACATTTCAATTTTTATCTCTTTCTTGGGGGGGGGGTGAGAGGGGTTGGAGTACAAAGCAGTATAATACATGAAATTCTTCAAAATTACAATTTTAACAGAATGTGGCAGGATTTGCCTTTAATTGTATCACTTTGGAGGCAGAGTCAGGCAGGTTCTCCATTTGAGGTCACCCAGCTCTACACAGTAGGTACCAGCCAAGACTATACAGTGAGATCCTGTTTCAAAACAAAACAAACAAAAAATTGTAACTTTATACTTTAACTGACATGTTTGTGCTACACACCTTGCATATTCTTGATTTGTGTTCTCAGCTGTCAGTATCTGGTGTTTGACATCTTCTACATTCTTTTCAGCCGTGGTTACTTTTTCTTGTAGAGTCAAGTTCTCCAGCTTAAGATCTTCTATTTCTTTAAGTGTTGATGTTTTATAGCTTATCAGAAAGAAAAAGTTAACACTATTTTTTTACTACTGTATACATGACAAAGTTTAGATTTTTATATGCTTCAACGAAGCACATAAACCTTAATATTTTCATGCACTCACACAGGTAAGAATTTTTTTGATGTAAGTACTAATGAGTTTACATAACATTTCTGATAGGGAGTCTCTTGCCTGCAAGTATGTCTTATGAGCCATGTATGTGCAGTGTTCAAAGTTCCAGAATATGGCATCTGATATCCTGGAACTAGAGTTAGAGATGGCTGAGACACCATCTGATGGGTCCTTTGGAAGAGAACTAAGTGCCCTTGACCTTTTTAAAAAACAGAAAATAGGGGCGGGGTGTGGTGGCACATATATTTAATCCCAGCACTTGGGAGGCAGAAGCAGGTAGATGGATCTCTGAGTCAAAGGCCAGTTTGGTCTTCATAAGAGAATTGGAAGACAGCCAGAGTTACAAAAAGAGACTCTGTATCCCTTCCACCTCACCCCCAAAAAGGAAAACAGGGAGTACATGGGGTAGAAGTTGAGGGGAAAGAGTACAATATGGAATAACAATATGAAAACTACTGTTATCCGAAGATGGACTGTGAGTGGAACAGAATTTTGTGCTAAGAAGGTGCTGGGATGAACATCAAAATGTAATCATATTGACTGAAAACATTTCTAACTTTCTCTTTTGCTTTCTAATATAGGGTGACACTTTATTGAAGTAGAAATCACTGTATAGTTTGGTCTGGCCTCAAATTTACTGTAAATCTGCTTTAGAATTCACAAGCAAAGGAGTGCAGGAGTGAGCCACCAACCATAGCCAAGAAAGAAATGATAACAATATGGTCACTGAAGTTTAAAAGACTAAAATATTAGCTTCCACACACAGTGTAGCATGCCTATAACACCAGCCTTCTGAGACCAGTGTGGGATATAAAGGTGGTACCAGGCTAACCCATGCTATTATAGCAAGAGCATCTAAGGAAGAGGGGTTGGGGGAGAGGGAAAGAAAAGCAACAAAGAAACATAAGACTAAGGAATTACTGAATAGTCAGTGAGATAAGATAAATGTCAGTGTGCCTAAGTTAGATGAAGGTATAAAAGCTTTAGATCTTATTTTTAAAATGATGCTATTAGGAAAGTGAGGTAGTGGTGCTAAAGACAAGCATGGATTTGAACTGGATAGCAGAGAAAAGGAACACTGATATAAGAATACAAAGATCACTAGATGACACTAAGTGGACATGTATGGCCAGTCATTATGGAATTTAAGATAATGGCAGTCATCCTCTATGGATTGCTTTGTTCACAGGTTTCTGTAGGTAAACACTTCTCCTCACTCATATATTCCATAGTGAGTACTACAAAGAAAAATACCTTTCCAATTGAGCAGTAATGTCTCTAAGATCTTGCACTGTATCATTATACCTCTCCTGTAAAGTCAAGGTGGCATGGATATGAGCAGCATTACTTTTCTCCAGCTCAAGTTCTTTCCTAAGAACAAAGAAAAATTACAAATGACTAGAAACTGTATCATATATCTCATATGATCTTTCACAAAAGCTGCTGTATAATTTAAAAGTACTTATTTATTACAATTTCATAGTATGACAGTTTTTACTAACTTATTTAATGGCTTCTTCTAAATATACTTTCTACTGGATTTCTCTTCATGTCTCCTGCACTATGTAGGTAATTTAGGGAAACGAACAACAAAAATACATACAACAACCTGTAAAGCCAATGTTACAGAATAGTCAGGTCTAAAGACTGAATGCAATGCCAGCTAAAAGCACCTAGATTTATTGAGTTTAATTCCCTGTACTGAGGCAATAAATACCACACAAAGTTAAAGACACTTCACATTAAAAACTTTTTTGAAAAGTAGTTATAGCACTATGTGCATTTTTGATTATATGATTAATCCATATATGCTGTTATTACTCAATCTTATTTGAGATTAGATCTTGCTGTATTTAGCACAAGCTGGCCTTGAATTCACGATCTTCCTCTCAGCTCAAATGAAAGGACTACAGATGCCTAACACTAACAAGATCCTGAACAGTTTTGTATAGTAACAAAATAGGTTTTAAGTAATATTTCTAAATGTATACTACAAATTTCAAATATCTTTTTCAAGTACAGCACATATAATATGTGTGGATGGGAATATGAGCTTGTTTGTAAAGGGTCTCTAAAAGAACATGAAGTAAAAATGAGCACTGTACAACTCACATCTGCACAGTGGAACTCTCACATCTGCACAGTGAGGAAGGAGGGCCACAGCAAAAACAATCAAATACTACGAGGTGGCTCTTAATAGTATGTTCCATGTCCCGTAGAAGAAGTGTTTTTAACATTAAGCCTAAACTAAAATGTCTAGTCTACAAAGGACCTGAGACCGCATTTCACACAGCACTTAATGAAGCAGAATATGAAGGCATCAAAACCACTTCTCTCGGAATCACACAGCTAACTAGCTAAGCTAGTAAAGTTCTTGAGAAACCAGAACTCTAAGCTAGAGTGAATGACTGTCTCTGCTCCTTCAGGAAATGGATTATTTATTCAACTTTTCCAGGTTCCTGTTCTCCAAAACCAGTTGCAATTTAGAACAACCCCCATAATACTTTTATACTGCTCCTCCAAAGTGGGGTACAGAAAGCCCTGAGGTGTACCTCTTCCTCGTGAGTTATAAAAACCCCAGAAGAGATTATTACTTACTCAACATTGTCAGGTGTGAAACACAATACCACAGGTTCATATCCCACCCACAGATTTCAGGAACTTAAATGATAAGACTTATTTGTAGTTTAAATTCATGAATCAAATTGCCAGGTCCAGATAAAAGAATGTGATGTGCATCCTTGTGACCTGTGTCTGACTCCTGAAATTTGTCCTCTGATCTCTACACATGTCTCATATACCCGCCACCAATAATAATACATTTAAAACATATTTTTAAAGTAAATAGTAAAAATTAAAAATAAAAGAATAAAATGGTCAAAAATAAAGTTTAGTATTGAAGTAATATGATATTGATATAAAACTGTGAGACATTAGTTTTCTTTTTAAAAGGAATTTTGCTTTTAAATGCTTACCAGCCAATTCTAGTTGTTTTATTTTCTTTGAGAAAATATTTCATTCTACAACATAGGCTGGCCTCAAGCTCACTGCAGTCTTCTTGCCTCAAGCTCTGAAGTGCTTTGATTACATGCATGAGCCAATATAACTTGGCACCTTTTGTTTTTTGATTGCTACATCAGGCAAGATTGGCTGAGGGTGAAAAGTTATTTGATGATCTGAGATACATCCTGAGGACCCCACATGATGGGAAAAGAAGCAACTCCTAAAATTTATCCTCTGACCTCCACATACATGCAGTGATGTGTACTTGTCCTTGTATGTGTACACACACACACACACTAGTCCATGAAGTTTTGTAGTCTCTCAAAATAGATATTTTAAAAATTAAAAGGCTTAGATGTTTTCAAATATATTATAAATTGTTTTAATGCTGATGTCCAAAGAGTTTTAGAAAATGTAGTGGCAAAGATGCACACAAACTAAGTTCTTGGCTATAGAAAAAGGGCTTCCTTTTGTTTGTTTTTATTTTTTAGACAAAGTTTCACTATTATAGTCCAATACCTTGAACTCAATGTACAGTTTAGACCAAACTCAAACTCACCATCATTCTGTCTAATCCTCTTGGGTTCTGGGAGTAAACATGCACCCGGCAAGTCTTACTTTGACTGCTATGCCTGCTTACATGTGTGTGAGCACATGTACTCTTACCATGTCTTTCTCTTCACCTCTTCCTTACCTTGAAAGATAATTCTAACCTCCATGCATATAGGTGACATGAGAATTCTAAGAAAATACGCTAGAAAACAATTTCTATTTCAAGCCCCACATCAACAAGACCCTGTTAATACGAACTCTCTAAGCAGCTCGTCTAGGCGCTTCAGTTGTTCAGCAGTTGACTTTGTCTCTTCTTCCAGCTGTTTAACCAGCTTTTCACTCTGTTCCTCTTTCCGTTGTACTGCATCCAGCTCCTCTAGGGCAAGCTTTAGCTCTTCTCTAAAGACATTCTTCTCTGAGGTCATTTCCTCTTGAAAAGAGGAGAGCTGCTGCTGAAGACTGGCAGACAATTCCTGTATTCAGACAGGCAAGCATAAGATAATTGGATGTGGCCTCATGACCTTTCTTGGAGCAACAAAGGCAATACAGACAATGAAGTATAACAACTAAATTAGAAAGTTTAAAGGAAACACAAAAATATACATAACATATTCACTTTCCCCATGTTATATAATTTAACAATATAGAAAATGAAATTTTTAGAAGTTTTTAGTGTTAAACCATCACTCTACTTTATATCTATCTGGCTTTATAATTAGCTTATATATACTTTATTCTATTTAGATATGATTTAAAAAAGATCTCACTGTTACATAAAATGTTTAAGTTATAGGATACACATTTCAAAGTTTTTTGGTTTTTATTTTTTCTTTTTTTGGTTTTTTGAGACAGGGTTTATTTGTGGCTTTGAAAGCTGTCCTGGAACTAGCTCTTGTAGACCAGGCTGGCCTTGAACTCACAGAGATCCAACTGCCTCTGCCTCCCAAGTGCTGGAACTAAAGGCATGTGCCACCAACACCTGGCCACATTTCAAAGTTTTATAAAACATTATCGAGAGTTTTAAGTGTGTATTAGTTTTTACTAGTCCCCCTTCAATCTGTTTTTCCATTCCACAGATAACTTTTGGTTAAGAGTACATATTGCCCACATATTTATATATGTGCATACATTTGGGGAAGTTATGCTATATATTTTGTGTACTTAAAAATATTTTAAAATTGCTTGGCAGTGGTGACACATGCCTTTAATCCCAGCATTTGGGAGGCAGAAGCAGGTGAATCTCTATGAGTTTGAGACCAGCCTGGTCTACAGAGCTAGTTCCATGAACGCCTTTCATTGTCTATTGCCCCAAAATATTTATCACATTAGTACGTGCCCATTCCAATTGATTCAGCCTTCACGAAAGTCTCACAGTGAAATGGTTTAGTTTCTAGATACCTTTTTAATAAACATCTCTATTCCACTGATTACTACCGGGAGATCCTCTGTTCATGTTTACAAGTAATCAGGATGTTGTGTTAAAGTTATCTACTTCTATCCCATGACAATGTTGTTTGTTTATATTTTTAGTGGGCTTTTCCCCTTACTGTTATATAAAATGTGCTTTATGTAACTTGCATTTCCAAATTGTTTTACCTTTTCCTATTGTTACACATTCTTTGTAAGATAATTATAAATATCTCTCTTGGCTGGGCATTGGTGGTGTACACATTTAATCCCAGCACTTGGGAGGCAAAGACAGGCGGATCTCTGTGAGTTCAAGGCCAGCCTGGTCTACAGAGAAAGTTCCATGACAGGCTCCAAAACAATACAGAGAAACCCTGTCTTGAAAAACCAAAGGGGGGGGGGGATCTCTTGTCTACTTGATACAAATGTATACCAGTATCTGTGGCTAATTGCTCAAAATATACACACAGAGGTTTTATGACATAAATGACTTAAAAAGCCAACAAAAATAAATGTAGTTAACTACCTTCTCTTGTTGCAGAAGTGACTCAATTTGCAATTCTTTTTGTTGCAGCTTTTCATATTCTTCTTTTTCTAGAACAAGCTTTTCTGTGACCATCTGTATCTCAGCACTAAGACTTTCAGCCCTTTCTCTGTCCTTGTTGACAAGATCATCTATAAAAGGAAAGCATGAGACATTCCAAAACTAAATACTAATGTTAAGGGGCTCGTTCACCTAATATTTCACCCCACTGCTTTAGCACACTGTACAGAACAAGCATTTCCAAAGATGGGGAAGATTATAGTCATTTCCTTATTATATATAGTACACAGTATGTTAGTTTTGAGTTTGCACAAATTACAAACTAATGTGAGCCCAGGGTAGATGTTTGCACTAACAGTACCCAGGGTAGAAGTCATCAGCTAATATATAACGCCTTTTATTTTCAAAGAATATAATGTGTTGAATTAAAAACAAACATTATAGAATTAAAAAACTTCCCAAAAAGCACTTTTTGGTATTCATATAATGGAAATGCTATTGCTATATAGCCGTGCATCTTTTACAGATAGAACCTAAGTCTTATTGAAGTAAAATAAACAGTACAGTACCTTTTTCCCTTTCAAGCAGCTGACATTTAACAGTCAGGTCTTCTATTTGCTTAGAAAATGTGACGGTTTCCTCAAGAGACTGCTGAAGACTTGAAATTTCACGATCCTTCTCTTTCAAATCTTCTTCTAACTGGGCAATATCAACTTTATATTTTTCTACTTGATCAGATGCACAACTGCATTAAAAAGTATTTTGAAGAGGATACCTCTTTAGGTATTGGAAAAATACATTCAACAAAATATGGTGCTCTTGTTTTGTATGAGCAAACAATTCTGATGCTGAATCCAGGGCTTCCCAAATGCCAGGCAAGTGCTTTAACAACAAAGTTATATCCCCAGCCAGTAAGGTCCATTTTATTTACTTTTCATTTCAATTATTTATTTGTTCAACATGTGTCTGAATGTCTATGTACCTCATGGTGTGCAATTCCAACAGAGGCCATCAGCTAAGATTCCCATGGAGGTGGGGGTTACATATGGTTGTGAACCACCATGTGAGTGCTGGGAATTGAACCTGGATCTTCTGGAAGAGTGGTCATTGATGCTAAGCAACCACTGAACAACCTCTTTAGCCTGGAAGTTAAGTGTAAAGCTACTATTTATATTACCTAATTTCTTCAATGTATTCTAAGAGTTTTTCTGTTTCAGATTTTTCATCAATCTGTTCTTTCTCCATGGAAACACTGAAAAACATAAAGAAAAAAAAAAAGAATACATATGGTTCATTTACTTAATAAGCATGCATACTACATACTAAATACTGTTAGGTCAGGTAAGGTAACTCTAGAGATCAAATTCTTACCTATAATTTCATGTGATTTTTCAGGTTAACAACTTAGATTAACACAGGTGACTAAATTTCTATGTACATGAAAAAGCTTTCCAAACATGTCTCATGAAAGCTACAGTGAGAACTATACAGAAATGGTCTTTGTTTGCAGCTTTCCTAGTTTTCGTAGCAACTTAAATCACATCCTGTGTGCTAAAAGGCTTCCATCCCCAGCTGTACAGAACATCACTTATGTGACTGCCAGGGCATATGGTGCATGCCTGTAAATCCTGAGGCAGAAGGACCTGGACTCTGAAGACTTCCTGGGCTACATGAGACACAGGACCTTGTTTCAAATAGGAACAACAAAGACAAAATAGCATTTGGCACCATTAGAAAGGGTGAAATAGGCCAGGTGGTGGTGGTGCATATCTTTAATCCCAGTACTCAGGAGGCAGAGGCACGCAGATCTCTGTGAGTTCAAGACCAGCATGGTCTACAAGAGCTAGTCCCAAGACAGGCTCCGAAGCTACACACGGAAACCCTGTCTTGAAAAACCAACTAAACCAAAACCAAAACAAGCAAACAGAAAGAAAGGCAATATCCAACACTATGAATACAGAACAACTCCAAGCACCACACTTGGCTACAGAGTTATAAAGTAACAAAACTCTGTGTGCATGTAGTATGTGTGTTGACGTATTTTTGTATGTGGGGAATGTGTGAACAAACACCCTTGTGTGTGCATGTGAGTCTGTGTATGTGACGTGTGTGAAATATATATATATATATATTTTTTTTTTGTGAAATATATTTTTGTATGCAGGTACACACAATGATGTGAGTGCTTGTGGAGGCTGCAAGTTAACATCAGGTAGCCTCCTCTGTTACACTTGGCTCATTTTCAGAGATAGGGTCTCTCCATGTGGAGCTCATGGTTTTGGCTAGACTGGCTGACTAGCAAGCAGTCAGCACCTGCCTGTCTCTACTCACCAGAGTTGAAATTATAGATACCAGCCCCAGGCCCAACATTTTACTTGTGCACTAGGGATTCTGTGGGTATTCAGGTCCTCCTGTTTGTGCAGCAGGCACTTTGTTCACTGAGCTATCATCTCCTAGCCCTTAACTCTTGAGCTTGAAAAGATGTGTAATATGCATTTTTCTGGTCTGAGATTCCCACTCCTATATGCTTACTAAGGAGAAACACATTCATGAAGACATACAGCATGTTCGTCATAGATGTCTTATCCAGTAGTCAAAAACTTAAAAACAGCTCAAGTATTCAAGAACAGTAATAAATTGAAAAAGTCATGTAGTAAAATTAAACTAAGCAATGAAAATGAAAAAAGAATACACATGACAGTAATATAAATTATGATGAACAAAGCTACTCTGAATAGTGATAAACATCTAGACACCAGTTTATAAAAGACAGAAAACAATGTAGGGGGAACATTACAAAATTATAGAGATAGCATCCTGAGGGGTGGAAATATTTTCAGTTTGGTTAATATTTCCACAAGCGTATATGGCTGTGAGGTCATCAAAATGAAAAATTATGATCTCTGTGTTGTATTATATTATGTGGTAGTTATAGCTTAGTGATTTTTTTTTTTTTTTTAAAGCTATAATGGGACTTTAATCCTATCTTCCTATACCTGTTTTTCAGTTTGGGTTAGACAACTACCTCAACCTAATGATGCTGGAAGGAAGATTCCAAGATCTTCCTGTTTATCAAAATAGAAGATGCACAAAAGCAATTGAAGGGAACAAAATTCACAATGTTGGAGAATGATTATGATTTAACTGTCACTTAAGAGGTTAACTGCCTGGAGCAATCATGTCATAAGCCTTAGATATTCCCAGTGTTTTTTTTTTTTTTTTTTTTTTTTTTTTTTTACTGAGTTAGATGATTGCTACCTTCAGTGCCAACTTACCTTCTATCCCTCCCCAACTTCCTTATAAGTAGAAATTAGGGCTTACAGGAATGCAGGTAGGTTACTTAGTAACCCTTAGGCATTCAGGTATTTAGCAACTCCTGCAACCCTTTAACCCAGCTAACAATCTGCTTATCTCTACCTGCATTTCCCCTTAGCCTTTAGTGACCTGTGACTAAGAACATCCTGCTGCGCTGTTACCAGGCACGACTTCCCCACTTCTGAATTCCTGCCTTACCTAGCTTCCCACCCTAACCACTAACTATATAACATGTTTGAGAAAAATAAAATTTTGCAGCTTGATCAGAAAGCCTGTCTTGCTGCCCATTTCTCAAGTCTCCTGTCCCCCATTTCAGGTCCTTTGAGGTTCAGGCCCCAGTTGCTGCCCTGCTGGCCAGGGCAGTTAAAGAAGAGCCAGGAGGTGGTAGTGAATGCCTTTAATCCCAGCACTCAAGAGGCAGAGAACTCTGTGAGTTCCAGCCTGGTCTAAATGAGTTCCAGGAGAGCCAATCTACACAGAGAAACCCTGTCTCAACACCATCACCATCTCCCAAAAGAGTTTAAGGAAAGGAACAAAGAAAGTATTAAGGAAACAGCTATAGCAAATACAACTTTCAGAGAAAGGAAAAAAAAAAAAGTTTCACAACCTACTTCAGCCTTAAATTAAGGAAACAATAAAAGTCAGAGCAGAAATAAACAAAATGGAGCTGAAGCTTACTCTGTATGCAAGTTTGACTTTGACCTTCTGATGCTCCAGCCTCCACCTCAAAAATGCTGCTCTTTTCACTGACCCCTTCTGATTTTTTGTTTTGTTTTAAACTTTTCAAGGACCGATCCCCACAGGCCTACTTTCTCTAGCTCTATCCAACCTCCCCAGGGTCCCACAGCCTCCCAATAGCATGACTAACTGGGATCCAGTTCAAAATATGAGATTGTGTGGGACATATGCCATTCAAACCACAACAGGGGTGATCATTTTATGTGATAAAAATGAAAAAATACTGATATAAAAATTTAAAGGATATAATTCTTCATATTTACAGATGAGAAGAATCAATATTGTTATAATGTTCATACTCCTCAAAATAACCCACAGATTCAGTGCAACCTCTAAAAAGATATCAAAGACATTCTTTGAAAATCAAGAAATAAACCTACAATTTGTATAAAAATGAAAATCATGTAACCAAAAGACACCTTGAGCAAAAATAGCAATGCAAGAGTGATTACATGGGGCTAGAGAGATGGCTCAGAAGTTAAGAGCACTGGCTGCTCTTCCAGAGGTTCCGAGTTCAATTCCCAGAAACCACATGGTGGCTCACAACCATTTACAATGAGGTTTGGTATTCTATTCTGATAAGTAGAAATACATGCCAGAACACTGCATACATAATAAATATAAATAAATATATTAAAAACATTTTCAGTTTTGTTTTCTTTTATGAAAAAAAACCTATATTCTGTTTTCCATAATAATTATGCCACCTACTTTCCTGTCACCGGAGTACAAGGGTTCCTTTTCCTCAATATCCTTATCAGCAATTATTAACTTCAAAAGTTTATTTATCTTCGTCTGTATGAGTATTCTGCTTGTATGTATGTATTTGCACTCTATGCATGCCTGGTGTATGGGTCAAAAGAGGATACTGGATGCTGGGAATTGATACATGATTATATATCCTACAAAGCTACTTTAATGAAAACACTGTGATAGCGTAAAAATAAGACAATTGGATAAATCAAAAGCCTAGAGCCAAGAGGGTAATAGCTCAAATATTGACAATAGGAGAATCCTCATAAGTGGTGCTGGGATCACTGTGTATCCCTATGTAAAAAAATGGGAGTAGCAACTATCATCCATCAGCTTCCAAATGGACTAAGTACTTAACATCCAAAATAATAATACCACTACCACACACCTTAGGGAAATGCTTCAGGGCCCTGAAAGTGGACTGGGCAACTGGCTTGCAAGTGTATATGGAAAAACTTCAAAATAGAGAAAGCAAAAGTAAAAATAGATAAATGGAACTACATCAAACTTAAAACATTCTGGACAGCAAATAACTGTATGATGAGCCCACCTACAGAATTGGAGAAAATATATACAAACTATATCTATAATAAAGTTTTAATATTTAGATTATATAAGGAACTTTCAAATTTTAACAGTAAAAAACTCAATCCAATTAAAAAGTGGGCAACAGATATAAGTAAACATTTCCCAAAACTATACAAATGGCCAACTTGTATATGGAAATGCTTAATATCATTATAATCACTAGGAAAATTAAATAGAAACCAAAATGAAGTATTAATCCACCACAGAAAGAATGGCCATTAAAGAATAAAACAGACTCAGCAGGTTGTATTTAAATTTGTACATATATACACAAACAGGTAACAATAATAAAGAAAAAGGTGCTATCAACTTAAAAGTGGGGCGTGCATAGTAAGAGTTGGAAGAAGAGTACCTGGGAGGGGCTAGAGAGAGAGAGAGAGAGAGAGAAAGACTGATTTTTGGAGGCTGGAGAAATGGCTCAGTAGTTAATACAACTGGCTGTTCTTCCAAAGGTCCTAACTTCAATTCCCAGCAACTACATGATGACTCAAAACCATCTATAATGAGATTTGGTGTCCTCTTCTGGCCTGCAGAGACACACACAGACAAAACACTATACATAATAAATAAAAATAAAAAAAAGAGATCTTGTTGCTCTTAAAGAGGATCTAGATCTAGGCTTGATTCCCAGCATTCAATGTCCTCTCTTGACCGGACATGCATAGAGTGTAAATACATACATACAGGCATAATACCCATACAGACAAAGATAAATAAACTTTTGATGTTAATAATTGCTGATAAGGATATTGAGGAAAAGGAACCCTTGTACTCCGGTGACAGGAAAGTAGGTGGCATAATTATTATGGAAAACAGAATATAGGTTTTTTTCATAAAAGAAAACAAAACCAAAAATAAACTATCATAAGATCAACAATCCTATTGGAAACAATATCACCATGTACAAATAATGGCTACACTCTCACGGTAGTCTCAGCAGTGCTCACACAGCCATGACAGAGAAGCCACGGCCGATTCAAGAGATGAATGGGTCCAAAGACATACCATAGAATAGTACTTAAAGAAAGCAAAATCCTTTCGTTTGTAACATCATCATGAATGGAAGGAACTGGAGTGCATTATGTAAAGTGAAACAATCAAGACACAGAGACAAATACCACACATTTCCCAAAATAGTGGACTTAAGAATTGATTATCACAGAAGCTGAGGATAGAACACAGTTACTGAAACTTGGAAAAAACAGGGGAAGGCCACAGCATGGCAATGTTTGGTCAAGAATAACTTTTGGTCAGTGAGTTCTAATAAGAGAGAAGAGAGAAGTTGGTATGCTATAGTTAAGATGATTACAGATTAAGCTGGGTATTTACTATAAGGAAATGAGATTCTTATATTTAATTTGATTTCCTCGTTAAACAATGTGTATTTACATTAAAACATTACAGAACCCCATTAATATATATTGCTTGATAGAACAGTTAAGTGAAGGAAAGAAGTCAAGGAATCATCACACTGAACAATCTTTTTCCTTTTTGCCACTTACAGTTTTCCCTCCAGTTGAACTATTTTCCCCTGTGAGGCTACAAGGTCCCTCTGAGTGGCCTGCAGCTTCAGCTCCATGCCTTCATGTTTAGCCATCATACTCTGTGCAACAGAGATAACTACTTTAGGAAATGAGAAGTTCTTAGGTCCCCAGAGTCAAGAGACAGTATACACACCAAAGGCAGCACTCACCCTCATTTTTGCTTCTCTTTTGTTTCTAAGTTTCATCAACTCCAGGCTTAGAGTTCTCATGCTCTTTTGATGACCATCTTCAGAAAACTACAACAAACATAAAAATTCAGAAATATTTTCTGCCAAGTCATATGCATAATTACTTAAATCTGGGTAGGGTATCAGATGCCTTTAATCTCAGCACTTGAGAGACAGAGGCAAGATGATCAAGTACAAGGCCAGCTTGGGCTTCACAAGACCTTGTCTCAAAAAAAAAAAAAAAAAAAAAAAAAAAAAAAAATTACTTATAAGTAATACTGATTAATATGCCTGTCAATGTCAAGGGAGCTATTATTTGTGTGCAATGTACTTTGGCAAAGAAAACAGCTTTGACCACAACAAGTACTGACTGTATGCCTGCATTATTTTCCCCTTGATTTTCTGATTTATTTCTGAAACAGTCTTAAGTTGATGGTTCTCAACCTTCCTAATGCTACGACCCTTCCTTATGTTGTGGTAAGCCCCAACCACAAAATTATTTGGGGCTGGAGAGATGGCTCAGTGGTTAAGAGCACTGGCTACTCTTCCAGAGAACTGAGGTTTGATTCTCAGCATCCATATGGCAGTTCACAATGGTGTGTAACTCAGGTTCCAGGGGATTTAACACCTCCACATTAACATAAAATAAAGTTTTAAAAATTATTTTCACTGCTACTTCATAACTGTAATTTTGCTATTATAAATCATAATGTAACTATTTTGGAAATAGAGGATTGTCAAGGAAGTTGCAACCCACAGGTTGAGAACTGCTGGTCAAAGTGGTCACTTACGATTACACGCTAGAAAGACCACTTGCAAGGTTTAAGACAAACCCTAGAAAAACTTGTGGAACTATGTTTGCTAAACTGTCTCAGCTGCCTTGGACACCTGATATACAGGATGTGAGGTCTAGTCCAGGCCTTCCAGGTCAGAATCTTACTTGGCCTCTAATACACTGTGAGAGTCTGTCACAGGCAATGAATAAATGATGAATTCAACTGAACAATGACTTGCCACTTACCTCTATTTCTGCCAGTGGTTAATGGAACCATACTATATTCCTTAGGATCTATTAGTACATTATTTACTTACAAACACAATTTATTTATTGAGTACATTCATTCCACTAATTATTTCTAAGCCTTATAATAAAGAAAATAGGTAAAAACAATCCTACAGAAGTAGGTTAATGTTTAAAGTATTTAATTTAATAGTCCCAGGAGGAATGATGGTTTGCCGATGTCTACTACATTCTATTCAAAACTTTACTTGCCTTTTTGAAATAGACCAGTACTTAACATGTCAAACCATCATCACTCTAGTTTGTGTGATTAGGACCAGTGAAGGCAAGAATGCCTACACCTGTGGTGTAAGTGAATAAACAGCCTCAACTCCACTTGTAACTTGTAAACTTCAATGTGAAGGACACCATTCAATGTTGATGTTATCCAAAGTTCAGCTACCTTAGATTTTAGTAGCTCGTTGGCTCTGGTTAGTTCAATAAGCCTTTTTTCCAGTGAAGCATTATTTGCAGAAAGAGATGTTTTCTCTCTGACTGTTACATTTAGCTTTGCTTCTGTCTTCTCCAACTCGGATTCCATATCTTGGATCCGTTTGTCCTGAGCACCTCGCTCCTGTAAAAGGACACGAATCTGGAAGAAAGTGAGAGGATAAATACATAATTGATCCTACTGGTACCAAGATCCTCAAACCTTCTAGAAAACTTACAATTTGATATGATGTCCAGACATTCTCATTTGTTATTTGAATAATTATATTTACCTTATGATACACCTTAAAGATATGCATTATAAATACAGAATGATCAGTACTGGAGAGGCAGAAGCAGGTAGATTTCAGTGATTTTCAGGTCAGGCTGGTCTACATAGTGAGTTCCAGAGCAACATACTGAGATCCTATCTCAAACACACACATAACAAGTCCACCAACCAAATACAATGATTTTTAATTGCCACAAACTTACAAGTGTAAGATGGCTGGCTACTGCTGGGCAGTGGTGGTACATGCCTTTAATCCCAGCATTTGGGAGGCAGAGGCAGGCAGATCTCTCTGTGAGTTCAAGGCCAACCTGGTCTACAGAGCGAGTTCCCGAAAAGGCTCCAAAGCTACACAGAGAAACCCTATCTCAAAAAACCAACCCTCCCCAAAAAGAAAAAAACCCAAAACAATAACAAAAAAACAACAACAAAGCTAGCTAGCTATTTAGTCACTTAAAAATGTAAGAATTCTTATTTTCTCTGGTGTTAATTACACAAAATTAAATTATAGTTTGAAGTGCTATATATTTCTTATTCCAGAAAGCAGAGTCCTCAGAAGAACTTAACAGGAAACAGTGAGCCATATGTTTTGCTTTCTATACTAGTTAAACAACAATCAGCAAAACAAAGAAGCTAGTATTTTTCAATAGTAAACAGAAACAACACCTTGAAATGTTTGGGGAGGGTTAGGGAAATGACTCAGTAGGTAAAGGGCTTGCCACTCAAGCATAGTGGTTGTTGGAGCACAGGATCCACACAGATACCAGTAAGGTGCTGTGGTCCAGTATTTCAGATAGAAACAGGTATCTGGAGTAAGCCAGCTGAGCAAACTAGCTGAAATGCAAGCTCAGGTTCTGTGAAACTTCATCAATACTGAAGGTTGAGAGTAACATAAGAAGACACTGGCTTCCCCATCTATGCGCACATGAACATACATACATATAAATATATATACCACACACCCATGCCCCCCCAAAAAAAGTATGGGTAAAAAATTGCCAACCCTAAATCTGATGCAAATAATCAGTCCTACTCTTGGCAGTGCCTCTCATTCATTAACAATGTCACGAACTCTGTTATTACTTGTGTATCAACCACAACATCCTCATTGCCATGGATTCTCAATAAAGACAGTCAATATCAAATTAAGTGAGAGAGATCAGTGACTAAGCTACACGAATGCCATGTTTAGCTCCTGCAGAACTACTCAAATTGCTACAGAATCTTGGTTTGCAAATCTATGCAATTCTCTTTTCACTATGTAGCATTTATTCCCCAGTAAGCTCAAAGTATGGCTTACCTCTTTTTCTAATCTCTTCAAATCTTTATCATTCTTCTGAGGCTCCTTCTGTTTAAAAGTCAAAAAACAATTATGAACTTACATGCCACAAATATCAATCCAGTCTGATGTTTAATTATTTATTTCCCAAATTAATAAAGAATTATTACATGTGTGTGGGTATTTTGCCTGCATATATGTGTTCAGACCATGTACATACATGCCTGGTAACTGCAGAGGCCAGAGGGGATACTAAATCCTCTGAAACTGGAGTTACATAAACTGTTGTGAATAGCCAGCCAGGTGGGTACTAGAAATTGAACCAAGGTCTCCTGAAAGAGCAGCTACTGTACCATTTCTCTATCTCATAATTTTTAGTCTTTTGAGTCAATATACCTTGGCCTTGAATTACAATCTGACTTTCACATGCTGGGATTGAAACCACGTACTAACACACTCATCTTCATGTGTAATTTTAAACACTGTAGAGAGTTATGAAATATTTTATAGGCAATTTTTTGATATATAAAATGTTCTCCCCTGCCCTCATTTTTTCAAGATAGAGGATCTCTGTGGAACTCACTCTTAGACCAGGTTGGCCTTGAACTCAGAGACCCACCTGTCTCTGCCTATTAAGTGCTAGGATTAAATGAGTATGCCACCACCACCTGGATAAAATGTTCTCAAAACATGAAAAGATTTCAGTTTTTTTTTTATATTGCAAAGCAGAAAAATAGCTTTCTGTTTCCTTTACAATAAAAAAGATCTTTACAAACAGAGGTCTGTGAGGACTGGAGAGATGTTAAGAGCAGTGGCTGCTCTTCTAGAAGTCCTGAATACAATTCCCACAACCACACATGGTGGCTCATAACATCTATAATGAGATCTGGTGCCCTCTTCTGGCATGCAGGCATGGAGGCAGAATGTTATATTCACAATAAATAAATTAAAAGAAAAATAGAGATCTATGACTAAAACTTGTGATTATGGTTTTCTTCATGGCATTTATTTACATAAGACATAATCTTGTACATATCAGCCTTTCTGACACAATTGAATATAATAAACATCTCTACTGATGTTATACATCATTAATAACAGGTTTATTTTGTGTTCCTAAGTTGACAGAAAGGCCTAACAACTCTATTCATTTCAAAACTGGTGGCATTTCCTAATAGAAAAGTTCTATCATTTGGGGAGTCTATGAATACTCATGTATTATAGTGTCTATGGGAATTTGTGAGTTCTATAATTAATTTAAAAATTTAAAATTTTACCAAGAAATTCAAGTAATGTCATTCATATCCATTCCTACAGAGCATTTACATGTTCACTACCCAATAAAAATATAATGTAAGCCAAATATGTACTTTAAAATTTTCATGTTTGTTATTATCTATGAGAAAAGTATAAAAATTCAATTGAGTTGCCTCCATATGTTGTACCCATATTCACAGCTATATCAGATTAAATGCAAAAATTTTATCAGACATATTTATACCCATTTTTCTAAAAAAATTGTAATTTTCTAATAACAAGGTTGCTTTTAGTGATCAATCAGTTGCCTACTACATGTTAGCTCTGGGCTTGATTCCCAGTAACACATACACACACACCACACACACACACACACACACACACACACACACACACACACACACGAGGAATTAAAAACTTAGTTCCTAGCCAGGTGTTGTTGGTGTATGGCTTTAATCCCAGCACTCTAGAGGCAAAGGCAGGCAGATCTCTGTGAGTTCAAGGGCAGCCTGGTTTCAGAGAAAGTTCCAGGACAGGCTCCAAAGCAATACAGAGAAACCCTGCCTTGAAAAACAAAACAAAAAACCCAAAAAAACAACAACAAACAAACAAAACTTAGTTCCTGGGCATAGAAAGATGCTCAGCAGGTAAAAAGTACTTGCTGCTCTTCTATAGGATCCCAGTTTGTCTCTTAGCATCTATGTTGGGTGGCTGTTACTCTGTTAGACTGGACACTGTCTTCTGAACTCCATGGGTACCCACATACATATACACATGCTCACACACACTGTCTTATGGCTACTATGGCTGTGATAAGATACCATGACCAAAAGCAATTTGGCGAGAAAAGGATTTATTCTGGTTACACTTCCACATTACAGTCCATCATTGAAGGAAAGCAGGGTAGGAACTCTGGAGGCAGGAACCACTGCAGAGGCTGTGGAGAAGTGCTGCTTACTGGCTTGCTCCTCAGGGCTTACTAAGACTTTCTTATAGAACCCAGGACCATCAGGTCAGAGATGGTACCATCCACAATGGGTTGAGCCCTCTCACATCAATCACTAATTAAGAGAATGCTCTACAGGCTTCCTAAAGACCAATCTTATGGAGATCGTCTCCTCTCATATAACTCTAGATACATCTTGTACTAAGATGCACAAAAACTAGTCAGCTGGGGGTTTGAGAAGTGTCATCCCCTCCCCCCCCCCAGTTTAAAAACAAAACAGCTTTTTCATTAGCACTTGTCATGTCACATTTCAAGTACTCAGTAGCCATATGTTACTCACACTCCTATAATGGATAGCATAGCTCTATTTGACAGAATAAGAGACCTTAGTAACTGCTAGATAACAGTGTTATCAGTGATTTGCATAACTCCTAAACAAAGTGACATTCTTAGGAGCTAATGAAAAGCAGCAGGGTTCTGCCTAACCACTATTATAAAGCTCTTAGGAGTTTATTTAGGGGTTTGATTTTTGAGCTTTCGAAAACAGGGTCTCAGGTAACCCAGGCTAGCCCTGAACTCTGTGTAGCCAAGGTTGGGCTTGAAGTCTTGAACTCCTAATTCTCCTAACTCTGCTACTCAAGTGCTAGTATCAAAGGTGTAGGCTACATAGCCAGCTCCATTAGGAAGAATTTAATCTACTGTTCAACAATTTGAATAACACCCCCTTTTGGTCATTGAAATTTTTTTTTCTCTTTTCTTTACCAATACTTATCCTTTCCACAAAAAGGCAAATGATAAACAACAAATACATAAAGCAACTCAGATGATGGTTAACAAATCAAAGCATGACACATTTGTAAAGGCTTACAAGGTAATTACCAGATTTATCTCTATACAGAAATGGCTTTGTAATTTTGAGTTAAGAGCCCATTCAAAGTGACTTACTAATAAATCAGGCAGAGTGTAAAACCTGCTAGACTTCTGATGATACTTCAACTTATTGACAGATTTAAAAAGAAAAAGAAAAAAAAAAAAGATTTACTCTTAATATGTATATGTCTATGTGTGTATGCCATGTGACTGTGAGTGCCCTACAAGGCTGGAGAAGTTATCCCCACCAAATCCAGGGGTGGGGACCTAAACTCTGTTCCTCTAAAGAACAGTATGTGTTCTTATTGAACTAACTCTCTTGCCCCAACTTACATAAATTTGGCTTATACACTTAGCCATTTTAATCAAATACAGTACCTTGGAGGTATGTAGTCAATGACATAAGGAATATATCAATAGTCTTATAAATGTTTCTTACCTTTGACACCAAATTCTTTGCTGTTTTAGATGAAGCAAGCAAGGTAGTATCCTTGTCAACATTAAAACTTTGTTGCGATTCTGGAAGAAATAAATGTTTGCATGTTTTAACAACATACATTTTTCAAACTTCTCATTGCAGATAGTACTTGAAGCAAGATAAGCTTTTCCTTTCAGTTGTAAATTTCAAATAATTACTTGCACAATTATTTGTTATAGACCTAAAACCTTCCTGATTTTCTTCACTTAAAAAAAGATTTAAAAAAAAAAAAACAATTTTTTTCATGTCTGTGTGGATGTATGTGTACTTGTAAGCCAACTGAGGTCCTCTATAAGAGCAGTATGTGTTTTGAACCACTGAGCTAATTCTCTAACTCTTCTTGACAGTTCTAATATTCTGCCAGAAAGGAAAAGCAATTATCAAAAGGGAATCTACCTATCTACAAATATTTTACAAAATTTCCCTTATTACATATAGTATAACTATGAAAAAAATCGTGTACTCGATTCTTTCATAAGTATGCCAAATAATGATATTTAATTATACTTCTGGCCTTGAAAATCTAGAAGAGCAAAGGCATCTTAAAATTTCAATACTATTGCTTATGTCAGGCTATAGCCTGTATAACCATTGTTTGTTTAAGGACCCATTACCTTTTTGGTTTTTAAATCTTTGTGATTTCTGAAAAGACACTGGTCCTTTAGAGACTTCTGAAGTTTTAACATCATAAGCACCTGGAGATGGAGCACAACCTACAGAAAACACAAAATAGCAATGTGTTACTTAAATGTTATTTTATTACTACTATTGAAATATTAGAAATACCTGTAAGTATCTAGGATCTTAAGTTAAACACACAGGAAGAGGGAATCTCAATGGAGGAACTAATTTCATCAGAAGTTCCTGTGGGTATCCCACCCCTGGCCAAGTGGTCCTGGACTGTGTAACAAAGCGCGCCATGGAAAGCAAACCAGTAAGAAGAATGCCTCCAATTGTGCTTCACTTCTGGCCTTGGTTTGCTTTAAGGATAGACTGTAACCTGGAAAAATTAAACCCCTCCCACTCTGTTCCCCACACATGCAATACTGACTGGATGAGTTTGTTTTCAGTCATTGTCGATGAATTAGTATAAATTATTCCAGAAAATTTATACTTCCCAAGATACACCAATATACTCTTATGCTTTTGCTTAATAGTCTTTCTTCCCTAGTCTTGATCTCTGTCCAAAGCATTCCTCTATGGAACTCAGGCTCACCCAGAACTCACTAAACACTCCAGGCAATCTTGAATCCATGAGTTTCTTACTCTAGCTTCCAGGGTGCTTAGATCACATGTGGCATGATGCCCATCTTCAGTGTACCTTCCTTTAGCTAGCAGTTTGTCCTCTTTCAAAGTATGGGCCAGGTGGTAGACCTGGCTGCTTGCCAAATCAAAAGCAGTATATGAATCGAGCTTTTCCACAGAAGCATCTCTTAGAAGCAGAGAGCAAGGAACAGCTCTATTTTCTGTTTGACTGGAAACCAGTAGTAACCATAAGAGCCTGTCAGTGCAGTAAAGCCAAGCTTTGTGAGAGAAAAACACTTTCTTCCATTTTGTGTTAGCCACAAGTAAAAAACCAAATGGGGGAAATAATTTTGGACTTCATAACTTTATCATTTTATAAATACAAGAAACTGAAGGCTTTATAGGAATAGAGCCCATGCCAAGTTACAACACAGCTGCAGCTAATGTAGACGACTGTGTCGGAAGGGACTTTTGAGTGTATCCATTTCATCTCTTTGGTGTCCACATTTATTTTGGTCTCACATGTGTCTGCATCTCTTAACATAAAAATCTGTTCAGCTCCAAGCAGGCCTATTATAGCAGGAAATATTTACTCTTGTAATGTGCCTGCTTGTAATTAATAGACATGTTTCTCTCTAACTCTCAGGAATTTCAAACAATTCCTTTTTATCAGTTATGAACTTCAAGTATTTAGAGATAATTATCTCATTATCTCTGACTTTTTCTCCTTCATACTGTCTATTACTCCATCATCTTTTCTTGTGAGGCAGACCACTAATTCCTTGTGAGTCTCAAATTTTTTTTGGAACTCTCATCTGCTACCATTCTATTTAAAATTCTACATGTGTACCTTCTGAAAAGTTAGAGGACTATGAGACCATTACTACAAAAGTCAGAGATGCCAGGCATTAGTGAAGCAAGCCTTTAATGCCCAGCACTTGGGAGGCAGAGGCAAGTGAATTTCTGTGAGTTCAAGGCCAGCTTGGTCTACAGAGTGAGTTCCAGGACAGCCAGAGCTGTTGCAAGAGAAAGCCTGTCTTGAAAAAAAAAACAAACAAAACAAAACAAAACAAAACAAAAAAAAAAAAAAAAAAAAAAAAAAAAAAGAAAGAAAGAAAGAAAGAAAGAAAAGTAAAATGACAACAGATGATATGATTTCCATGAAGTTAACCTTTTCTGCTGTTATGGGTACGATTCATTTGTAAACACAAAGTGGCTCCAATTGCTGGTTCGATTATTATTTTTCTTTCATGTTTTTCTTACCCATGTTGGTATCTTCTAACTTAAAACAATCAAATCAGCTAATGAAATAATGGGTTTCTGTATGTTTTTTTTAATTGCATTAAATAAAGCCTTCAAGCTTCTCAACTTCTGCATTTTCTAGTTATTTAGTTAGTCAAAGGCCACCTCTAATTTTTTCCAGCCAAATCTCATTTACTCTCTGAATCTCAATTCAAGCTTTTGCAGAGTCTCAAAATCAGACTAGAAAATCCTCATAGCATCTTCTACCTTTCCTACCAAAGAACTTCCCATGCTTTCATAAGGATTTATTTATTCCATCTCCACAGCAGACAAAACTGCTTGCAATCAGGAAGCAGATCCATCATGTCTACTGTTCTATATTTAGCTAATGGCTGTGTTAACAGGTACGGAAAACAAACTTGTTTGGGGTGTAGGAATGGACTACACTTTTTAATTGGCCAGATGAGGATTCCAACCCAGCTTTGTCTGACAAGCTACAGAAAACTCTGTGCCAAACATTTAGTACACATAGAGAGCACAGTGAATAAAAATGTTACACTCCCTCCTTTTCCCCAGGATGCTTCAAGTTTCCTTGAAGTGGGGGGCAAAAAAAACCCCTAGTTTTGAAGATTACTTGGGTTTGAAGAAACTGCCACTAATTTACAAGTATTACATATCTCATAAATGTTATTCTTGAAAGTATAAGCCTTAATAACTACTCCTTAAAACCAAACAGCAGCTAAGCCATGTGGGGTAGTACAGGTCTGTACGTTTCAAGTACTTGGGAGATGGTAGCAGGAGTTTAAGGCCAGCCTGTACTACATGAAAACCTGTCTCAAAACAAAAACAGAAAAATCAGCCCTGCTCTGCAGAACCTGAATTGTTTTAATACCTTGGAAATAGTATGGCTCTTGAGCTGGATTAATATCAATCACTTGACCTTGTGAATAGAGTGGTGTTCATAGAAATCACAGATGTAGTAGTGACACTTAAATAGCATGTTACAGAGGATATAGTATGGCCTTTGGTGCTCACTACAGTCAGAAACTTCCTCAATTTTCTCACTTGTAAAGAGTACAACTTTGGTACTTTGCTCTTTTGGCTGCTAAAGGGAATAAGTTCCAGACCCTAGAACAATAGGTACAGTTGTACAGTTAGCATCGATCAAATCATATCTAAAACTCCTTAGTTATTGTGGGTATACACCACAGTGGTTAAGGGCACAGGGTATATCAAGGGAAGCCTGGTTCACACCCCAGTTTTGTCAATTTAGTTTTATAACACTGAAAAAAATTTCAGTGCCTTTTTTCTTTTCTTTAAAACTGTCTATTTATTTGTTAGAATGGGTGGATCACTGCCAATCTTTCTATGTAGCTCAGGCCACAGGGCCTGGAAACACCTATTTCTTAATGGTGAAAAACATTAAAAAAATTTCCTTTATCTTAACTTTTTGGACACTGCCGCCATCTATACCCAACTTACTGTGTCATCGACACACCAAGTCCCAGTGTTTAGTCACTAAAACATTGAATTATTACTTCAAGATTGTTTATAGAGAATGGAAAAGAAATTCTGGAGCAGCTGTTATTACTTAACCGATTTCTCCAGCTCCGTGTTTTTATATCCGAAAGCAATGTCAAAACAAGAAAGAAAAATGCTAACGAAAGTAATATTTTTCTTTTGAAAGTACTTAACACTAGCCAGTTCTAACCCCCTTCAACCAGCTATTAGTTTCAGCATGTCGTTGATAGCTTATTGGTAGAATTTCCCGCTAGAAAACTCGCTGTGTGGGTAGATTTTACTAGGAGCCACATCCCTACCATCCTATAACACTTGTCAAGTGTTTACTGCATGCATTTTGCAAAACAACAAAAGGAAATGAAAACAAACACCATCCCAACCCTAATCCGGTATCCCGCGGACGGAGGAAGGAGGGGTCGAGGGCGCGTCCCCTCCCCACCGCATTCCCGTACCCGTACGCACCCGAAGGGTCATTGAATCTTTTCAGGGGCGCCTTAGGAAAAGACATTATGTGAGAGACACCTGGATCCACGAAGGCCACCAAACGCCTCAGCAACTGTCTGCTTGCCTGAATTCAAATTTACCTCAACCTTCCCGCGTCAGCCAATCAGAAATCCTAAACCGAGCTGACGAATCCTGAGTGGGCCGAGGAGCATGCGCACTGGGTTTGTGCCACGTCCAATCGGAAGGTCTGTAAGTTTAAGCTGATAGCCAATGAGAGACAGTTCCTGTTCGCCGCCGCTCCGCCTCTAGCCAGTCCCGTCTGCAGTTACTCAGGTTTACTCCCAGCTCGCGCAAGCGCACCTCACAGGCAGCCCGTAGGAGCGTGCGTATTCTGGCGTCATACTGGTTAAGAGGTCTCGAGCGCTTGTCTGCTTTGTCCGCTCGTCATCGTTCTTGTGTGGTCAGCATTCCTGGGCTTCGGTTCTTTCACCCCAGGTCTCGCGAGTGTCCTAAATGGTCCCTGGAAGGGAAACGTTTGCACGCTCGGACACGCCAGCTTGGACTTTTGCGCATGTGCAGTGACCCCAAGGCGCTGAGAGCACACACTCGAGTCGCATCTCGCGTGTGAAGTGCTCGCCCCGAGCGTTGTCCGTGCGTGGCATCTGGAGAATGTCCGCCCCGTTCGAGGAACGCAGCGGGGTAGTTCCGTGCGGGACGCCGTGGGGCCAGTGGTACCAGACCCTGGAGGAGGTGTTCATTGAAGTCCAGGTGCCCCCGGGCACGCGCGCGCAGGACATCCAGTGCGGCCTGCAGAGCCGGCATGTGGCTCTGTCCGTGGGTGGCCGCGAGATCCTCAAGGTAGCAAGCCAGGGCTTGTCCCGAGTTCCTTCTGAGTTCCTTCTTCTGGCTTCCTCGTACTCCCTAGTGCTAAAAATTCATGGTTTCAGAGGGATGACTGCTGGGTGGAAAGGTCAGTTCCTGGCTGGCAGGAAAAAAAAAAAAAAAAGCAGTGACTTGACCTGGCAAGGGGTTCTCATCGCAGCACCCACGCCCAGAGCAGACCTAGCGTGGATGGTACTGTAAAGATTTCGTTTCCTTCTTTTTCTAAACGGATCCGTGTTTCTTGTAATTCCCCTGGAGTTCCTTTGCTGACAGAAGGCTAACTAGATCAGAAGCACTGATCTGAGTCCCAAAGACTGTAGACAAAAGGTTCCTGAATTCTTAATAATATTTAGGCAAATACAGGAAATAGCAAACAAGGATAGGGTAATGGATGAAGATGATGTCAGATTGGCTTTCAAGATTACAATTTTCTTGCATGTTGATGGTCATTAATATAATGAAGAGGTGTGTGAAGAAAATAGTGCCTCTCATATTTGATTCCACAAATATATTTTTAATCTGGCTATAACTTTTTGTTCTTAAGAATTTCCAAAAGTGCATACCTTTAATCTCAGCACTCAAGAGGCAGAGGCAGCCACATTTCTGTGAGTTCGAGGCCAATCTGGTCTGCAAAGTAATTTCCAGGAGAGCCAGGGTTGGCAGTTTCATAGGGAAACCTTGTTTTGGAAAAAAATAATTTTTTGCGTAACAATCTGAGATTTTATGCCCCTCGATTAGATGCATAGCTTGTTGGATGGCCTTCTGTACTGGTGAAGAGAGACATGGTAACATGCTTTCTAACCTTGGGCAGGAGGAAATGAAAAATTAGTCAAAGCTAATTTGACATCAGATCTTAATATGTGATTATATCTACTTAAGAAATTGGCTTTTTCTTGTGTCAGGTTTTCAAAAAAGATTGAACTGGCTTTTAATAACATTTTCTTTAAAAAAAAAAAAATAGCATTTTTAAGGCAAGCATTGTGGTATGTGCCTTGGATTCCAGCATTTGAGAGCTAGAGGCAGGTGTATTTCTTCAAGTCAGGCCAGTCAAGTCTACATGGTGAGTTCCAGGACTGCATAGTATAATGGTTCTTCCCAAAGGCTACAACCCTCATGTTGGGGTGACCCTCAACCATAAAATTATTTTTGTTGCTACTTCATAAAATACAGGGTTTTCGTTTGTTTGGCTACTGTTATGAATCATAATGTAAAGGGGCTGGGAGACTCCCAAGTTGAGTACTCATGACGTAGAGACCCTGCCTCAAGAAAAAAAAATCAAATAGAACATTTCTTCTAGTTTCATTCAGCAGGAGTCCCTGTCTTGTGCATTTTGATTGGTAAAGCATTTTATACATTAATTCCACATTCTGTCAGCAATGAGTAGTATGTCTTCATTTGTTGTGTTTAGAGGTTCCTATGTTCTGCATGCTAAAGATGTCAAATGTTGTAAACTTGAGTCCCTTTCACTCAATAGGAGGAAGTTCAAGGTTGAGCACCTACAATTTGTCTGAACTAGTCTAAGATATGGCTTTGCTTGAAATGAGCCAAATCTTAATTATGGGAAATGTATAAAATTAGTACCCTTTATTTATTTTCCAGGGAAAGTTGTTTGATTCTACAATTGCTGATGAAGGAACATGGACTTTAGGTAAGAATAATCTGTGACTCAGAAACTTTTAAAAATTATAGACTGTGGTATCGTTTCTTCTTTGTTTTAAATCTTCTTGTCCTTATAGCTGTGAAAAATGGAGAAATGTCTTGGATACAATTGTATATCAGAATTACACTTTAACAGTCTTTAGAAAATACAGGGATTAACTAATTTTTTTTTTTTTTTTTTTTTTTTTTTTGGTAACTTATTTCTTATTTTTATCTTAGAGGATAGAAAAATGGTCCGCATTGTCCTGACAAAGACCAAGAGAGATGCTGCAAACTGTTGGACTTCCCTTCTAGAATCTGAATATGCAGCTGATCCCTGGGTGCAAGACCAAATGCAGAGAAAACTTACATTAGAGCGATTCCAGAAAGAGGTAAGTCAGATGCTGGCATGAGTATGAGTATGCTGTGAGACTTCAGATTGCTGAACATACATCAATAATTCATGAATAATACACTTAAAAAACTGGACCACTATAGTGTACATAGTGTAAAAAGGTGAGCAATCCCTTCATTGTTATTCCCCCACCCCCTAACCTCTGCCTCACTCTTGTATATTACCCTCTTTGTCTGTTTGTTTATTTATTTGTTTATTTGTCTTTGCGTTTTGAGACAGGATTTCTGTGTATTGTTTTAAAGTCTGTCCTGGAACTAGTTCTGTAGACCAGGCTGGCCTCAGCTCTAACTCACAGAGATCCACCTGCCTCTGCCTCCTGAGTGCTGGGATTAAAGGCATACGCCAACAACACCTGGCACCTGTTTAATTTTTAACAAAGGTGGCGTTGTATACCTTGCTTATTTTTATGGTGTTTTTTCCTTTAATAGTGTATCTTCGGCCGCTTCCCCTAATCTTGTGTATATATACACGGCTAAAATTCATCCCTTTTAACTGCTTTATTTCTCTCATTTGCATGTATAACAACTATTTATTTAGCTCTTTTCCTTTGATTTTGTTTTTAATATCCTTGTTTTTTTGTATATTAAATATACATATACATACATACATACATACATACACATATATATATATATATATATATATATATATATATATATATATATATATATCTGAAACTGCTTCAATGTTCCAAGATTAGATATTTGGGAGAGGGATTACTTAACCACTGGACTTTTAATTACTTAACCATTGGACTTTTAAAAGTTGAGGGGATAATTTCCATCTGTATCATGCTTATTTCCAAGTATGTTTGTAACCTAAGCTTCTCCTTGTAAACTTTCAACCTGCATTTCCAGTTATTTATTGATCAGCTCCATTTAGCTGTCAAGTACATGTCCAAAGTGAACAAATTAATTTCACTCCCAAATTTATTCTTTTTGTTATTAATTAATAGAAATTAGTTGTTGAATTGCACAGTATTGAATTGCACAGAATTGCACAGTAGATATGGCACTTGAGATGCAAGCATTCTGGATGATCCCCAGAATCCATGCAAAAGCTGGGCAGGTGTGATGGCCGTCTTTGATCCAGCACTCCTGAGGCAGATACAAAGCATCCCTGGAGCAAGCTGTCTGTCTAGACTACCTAGAATTTGGAGAACAATTGAAGAAAATACCCGATGCCAACTTTAGTCCTACACAAATACACAGGTGCACACACACATGCCTTCCTCCCTACCAGGTTATTGACAACTCTTAGGAAGTCCTATTAGCATTGTCTTCCACTTAAATCTAGAATTTTACGGCTTTGCTCTGCCAGATCTGCTAGTACTTGGTCTGGATTACTTCAGTAAATTGCTAACTACTTCTTGACTCTTTCCCAAGCAGTTATCTGGGAGTAGCCATTGAAGATGTCTTTTGATTGTGGGAGTCAGATCAATGTGTTTTTCTTTTCAGAATATTCTCAAGATCTTCCTTTTCTTCATGGGGTAATTTATCAGTTACTTCTTACAGACCTCTCTCTCTCTCTTTTTGTTTTGTTTTTGTTTCTTCCTTGTAGATTTGTTTTCTTGAGACAATATTTCACTTTCTAGGTCTGGCCTTGAACAGAGATCTGCCTCCTAGGTATTCGGATTAAAAGTGTGTACCAGCATGGCCGGCCCTCTGCTGATTCTGACTAGAATGTTCATTGTCCTGTCGCTTTAAGCTCATCACATTTTAACTATCCCATTTAAGTCTATAATTTTCTCTCTTAATTATTTCTCCTGCCATACTTCCTGTTTATCTTTTTTTGTCACATTTGTAAGCTTTAACATACTAAGCCAGGGATTGGCAAAATATGGCCTGGGCAAATTCAGCCCCAGGTATGCAGGTAAAGTTTTACAGAGACATACCTTTGTTCATTTATTAGTATGTCATGTATAGCAGTTTCTTATAGTGAAGTGTTTATGACAGAAATCATGTAGTTTGTATAGTCTAAAGTGATTACTGCCTGTCTCTGCATACACCAAGCTTGCTGAGTTGTGTGTTCAGTATTTATGATTTATTATTGGTGTTTTCCTGCTACAGTATAAGCACGTCTACAATAGAGGTCTTTATATTTGAAATCCACGTGAATTTAATGGTTTGTTCCAAGTAGTAGGGTGCTCAATAAATGTACATTAAACAAATGAAATTTTCCCCAGAAAAGTCTAAAGCAGTATTTCATAATACTTAATCCCCAGAAAAGTCTAAAGCAGTACTTCATAATACTTAGTGTATATCTTTATCCTAACATACATATAGCTATTAGAACTCTGCATGGCTTATAGTAAGCTTCAAATGGACAGAACTTAAAAAAAAAAAAAAAAAAAACATACAGTCCTGAGTAAGGTAATCCAGTCTCAGAAAGACAAATATATAGTATGTCCTCACTCATAAGTGGATACCAGACATAAAGCAAAAGATATCCAGACTACAATCCACAACCCAGAGAAGCTAGAACCTTTTTTCAGAAACAGATGGAAGCAGATGCAGAGATCTACAACTAGCTGAGCCACTGGAGTACAATTGAAGTGAGGGAGGAGTGATAATATGAGCAAAGGAGTCAAGACCATGATGGGAAATGCACAGAATCAGCTAACCTGAGCTAGTGAGAAATGATTGACTCCAGACTGACAACTGGGTAACCTGTTTAGGATGGAACTAGGCCCCCTAAATGCAGGTGACAATGGTGTGGCTTGGGCAGTATATGAAGTCACTGGAAGTAGGACCAAGATCTAACTCTAGTACATAAACTGATTTTGTGGAGCCCATTCTCTATGAAGAGATACCTTGCTTAGCCTAGGCCAAATTGGGGGTCTTGGTCCTACCTCAACAAAGTGAAGGAACAGCCTTAGTTGACTTCCAAAGGAAGCCTTTGAGAAATGAATGTGAGATTGGAGGAGTGGAAGGAGAGGAGAGAGAGGGAACTGGGATTGTAATGTAATGGATGGATGAAATATAATTAATAGATGGATAAATAGAAAGAATGAATGAATGAATGATGGCTATTAGTTGTGCTTGATGACATTCACCTTTAATTCCAGCTTCTTAGGAGGATGAGGCAAGAGAACTACAAGTTCAAGGCCAGCCTGGGTAACATAGCAATACCATGTTTCAGAAGAAGAAATGTAAATTTAAAATTGGTATAGTTTAGTGTTTAGTATTGCATAGCTTGAAGGAAGCCCTGTGTTCAATCTATAATACCCCCTGCCCCACAGAAATAAAGCTTTTAAAATCTTTTATGCAAATAGCAGAATTGAAATATGTGCTTCACTGTCTAGTCACTAGCATTGTCATATACATAACACTCTTGTAAATATTTCCAGATCTGAAAGTTGAAAGGTGCCTCGTAGTTATCATTTCCCTTAGGTATTTACAGTGAAGTTTAGTATCTTTTCTTCCTGTTCTTCTGTTCTTATTTTGACCTTTTTTTTTTTTTTTCTATTGTGAACAGCTTCTTCTAAATTTTATTATTTTATGTCTTTCAGAATCCTGGTTTTGACTTCAGTGGAGCAGAAATCTCAGGGAACTACACAAAGGGTGGACCAGACTTCTCAAACCTTGAGAAATGACTGCTATTCTTTAGTTTTGTTCTGTTTTGTGGATCCCAGCAGGTGCTGGCAACTTAATGCAGCAAACGATATGAAGGATGAAAACATATGGATGTCTACAATTAACATATTGCAAATGTATTTCAAGATGGTTCTAAAAGATTACATTCAGATATGATTTACATAGGAAGTACAGCAGCTATCCTACGAATGGATGGTAACTTTTATTCTCTGCATTAAGTTTATGTGCTACTTTACTAATTTCATATTTAATTGTATTTTTATTACAAAAGCATTGGAGTACAAATCATATGAAATGAAAAAGTGCCTTCAGGGATTTCTTTTTTTGGGGGGGTAAGATACAGAATAATGTTCAGTAAACTTCTGAGTAAGAATTATGCACCCCTTTATCCATTCAAGGAAAGCACAGTGCTGGACAAACTAAGAAAGGAAAAGGGTATTCAGATGATCTTTGGATAATTTGAATTAGTGAAAAACTGTAACTGATGTGATTCTGCTGCCTAAGTGATTATGTCAAGAAATTGAAAAACACTACCAGTGAACCTGTTTGTGTCTGAAAGCAAATTTAGGTTCCTGAGTATAAACCAGTGGCTTCATTTAAGTTTAATGATTCGGTCAGAAAGAGGATTGCCTAGAGCAAATTGCTTTTCTCCTATTTATGTCTTTTAATTCTTTAAAACATAGTCTGAAATGTGTAGGAAGCTTATAAGTGTGAAGTATTAACAGTTTTAAAATCTTGTGTTATTTTTTAATAAACTGACATGATGCTGTCACCTCAGTCTTTTACTGTTTTGGTGGTGGTAATGATGGTTTATTTGTTTTGCTTGTCTTTTTCCTTGACAGTGCAGTTATTAAAGTAGGAAATCAATGTGGACATGGTACTGCTGCTTAGTCCTCGGACCTTAATGCTGTTTATATTGAACTGATTCCAACAATATCGGTTGGTGTTGGTGCACATCTTTAATCCCAGGACTGGGGAGGCAGAGGCAGGCGAATCTCTGTGAGTTTGAGGCCAGCCTGGTCTACAGAGCAAGTGAGTTCCAGGGTAGATTCCAAAGCTACACAGAGTAACCCTGTCTCAAAAAAACAAAACAACAAAAAAGGAAGGAAGGATGGAAGCCCTGCAGTAGGATTTGCTACTCTACCTGAGGTGTCCAGTTCATTTCAGTCTGGAACAAATTCCTGTTTTTGTTTGGCTTTTACTGCTTTGACATTTTTCAGTGATAGAATCTTTCTGGGTAACCTGACCTCCAACTCATGGTGACACTTTAGCCTTAGCCCCCAGGTACTGTGATTATGGGTATGTGCCTGTGCCTGGCTTAAATTCTGCACTACAATTTTGTCTGTTAATTCTTCAGAATGGAGTTCATTGTTTGGATTATTCCTGAATACTGTCTCTTGTCATGAATTAAGAATTTCACCCTATTGCCGATGATGAATCTTAGGTTATCGAGTAAGGTAGTATCTGCTGGATTTCTTCACTGTAATACTTATTTTTAGGTGTTTTGTGGGAGAGTAGTTTTAAAATACCTTTCATGTTCTAACAAGGCTTTGAATTTATTTACTATTTTATGCAGTGGGTAAAAAGTATTCTCACTTCTTTGATGTTTAAAAATTGTATAATTTGTCTAGTGTAAAGCAGTCTTGGTGGCTTCTGTGTCCTTTGACATGTTTCGATCGTCATGTGAGCAATTTCTTATTCACCAGACTTAGGCACTACTTGCTCCAGTCCAAAAATCAAAGAATCCAGTTCCCTTTAGTGGATAAATGTTTTTAAACAAGGTGTGCATGCTGGTGTGTGATACTGTTAATGTATGTTTAGCATGCATACATTAAACCTATGCCTGCATATTGGAAACCACGAGTTTAAAATATCCCATGAGATTTATTTTAGTTCTTTCTTGGCATATTTAGAATTTACTTCAGTAGCTCGGTTCTCGTCACTTTTAATGTAATGACCTGCTGGAGGTCATCTCTACACACAAACCTTCATGTGTGAGGCCATGCTGAGCAGAAGTGTTCTTCAGTGCCCAAGCTCCAGCACTGACCTCTAGTCGCTGGCCTACCCTATGATGTCTGCCTTTTGCTTACTTACGTTCCTTAATACCTTTAGGAATGAAATCTTGGGACGAAGATGTTTTCTTTAATTGGTTCTCTTTGGTGTAATAATTTTAAATAATATTTTGAATAAACTTACAGGTAAAAATACCATTTTTCAGTGTATAATTTGGTGAATTTTAACTCGTGTAGATTTGAAAACACTGTCCTATTTATCCTAAAATAATGCAGTCACCCGAGTACTAAATTTTTTTTTCTTTTTTTTTTGTAGTTACAGTATCAGCTTTCAACTCTAGAAACCACTGTCTCTGCTTTTAGCTCTTTTCTATGGTTTATTTCTTCTAGAATAAATAAGCAAAACCATATGCAAGTTTTTAAAAGTGTTTGCTGAAACAATTTAAATACTCTAGGCTCACCCTTACTAAGTATATAATTGAGTATGCCCAGAGTACACCACCATCAGCTTAGTGGATTTTCAACGTCCCAAATAAAAGCCTTGTATTCTTGAGTTGGCATACTATTTCCCCTATATGGCCTTATCATACTGTTAGTCCATTTATTAGATGTATGTTTAGGTATTTTCCTATTTGGGCTCTGCTGAGTAATGCTGCTATTAGTGTTTGTGCAGCTGGTTTTTATGTGTGAAAGGTCTTTTCTTACTGTTCTGATCACTTTGATTTTAACTTGAGCTAAAGTCATTTTAGAAGAGGGAAAACTAATTGAGAAAAAGGCTTCTTAAGAACTGGCTATCAGCAAGTCTTTAGGGCTTTTTCTTAATCATTGATTAATGGGGAGGACCCAGCCCTAGGGTCATTAGAAAGCAGGTTGAGCAAGCCATAAAGAGCAAGCCAGTAAGCTTGCATCAGCATCAGCGCTTGCTTTTGGTCATGTTCTGTCGTCACAGCAGTGTAATCCTAATGTTTATGTTATGTGCTGTCTTATGTGTTAAGGTTTCTATTGCTGTGAAGAGACACCACAGCCATGGCAACTCTTAGAAAGGGAACATTTAATTGGCTGGCTTACAGTTCAGAGGTTCTGTTCACTTTCATCATGATGGGACATGGCTGCATGTAGGTGGACATGCTGCTGGAGAAGGAGCTCTATCCTGACCCATAGGCAACAGGAAGTGGTCTGATACACTGAGTGTGGCTTAAGCATATGTGAGACTTCAAAGCCCACCTCCACAGCGACATATTTCCTCCAGTAAGATGGCATCTACTCCAACAAGGCCACACCTCCTAATGGTACCATTCCCTGTGGGGGCATTTTCTTTCAGTCCTCCACACATCCTTTCATTTACTCATTTGAGGAACTTTGAGGCTATTTCCCAACGCAGCTGCACATTTACCTGTGGTGTTTAGGATTCCAGTTTCTCCACATTGTTGTTTACATGTCTTAACTGGCTGTTTGAGTCTAGTCATTCTAGTGATAGTAACTGGTATCTGTGGCTATGTGTACATTTTTATGTAGGTACTTATGTTGTAAATACATTCATTGTGTGTGGGGTTGGGTGAGTGAGGGCTTAGGGCTTGCATGTCACACACAGTACAAGGAGGTCAGTTACCTGTTTTCGACATGTAGGCCTCAGATTAAATTTAGATCACCAGTCTTGGTGACAAGTTCTTTTAACCACTGAATCATCTTTATGGTTTACATTTCTGTGAAGGCAAGTTACAGCTAGCATTCTGTGTTTATTGAGCATTTGTGTGTCATTCTTAAAGAAATGTTTATTTGTTGGGCAATGGTGGCACACACCTTTAATCCCAGCACACGGGAGGCAGGGACAGGTGGATCACTGAGTTTGAGGCCAGCCTGGTATACTGAGCAAGCTCCAAAAAGAAATTATTCAAATCTTTTGCCCATTTGAAAATAGGGTTATCTTATTGTTAAGTAATAAATAATCTGGGTTGACTCTGTATTCTTTGGCCATGTTAATTTTGTTTTTTCTATGGGTTTTTTTTTTGTTTGTTTGTTTGTTTTTGATTCCTTGAGTTTTCTGTATAGATTAGTTCATTTTACACTTTTTTTTGGGGGGGGGGTCTGTTTGCTTTGGAGAGAGAATTTTCATGTACTCCATGCTGATCCTGAACTCACTAGTAGCTGAGACGTCCTTGAGTTTCTGATTATTGTCTCTCCATCCAAGTGCTGAGATTAGACCTATTAACACCTTCATCTTTCCTGATTATCCTGGCTAAACAATGAAGAGATTGGCCAGCCCCATATTAGCTATGCCTTAGGATAATGAACTCAGCTGCTTTTAATCTCAATATGGAATGCTATCCATAAGGTTTCCACCCTTTCTTTTTTATCAGGCTGAAGTCCCCAACTATTAATTTGTAGTTAGCTGAACTTCAAGAAAAGGTATTGAATTCTAGAATGGTGCTGCACATCTTTAATCCCAGTACTTGGGAGGCAGAGGCAGGTGGATCAGATCGAGTTCTAGGACAGCCAGTACACAGAGAAACCCTGTCTTGAAAAACAAAACAAAATGTATGTTGGTTATTTCCATATGTTTCTGTAATGGTTGATTTGATCATTTTCTTTTCTAGCTTATTAATGTGATGAATTGTACTAATTTTCAAATTTTGAAGAGCTTGTCACAATCCTTCACCCAAACTCTGTCAGTTTATATATTTACATTCATTCAGATTTCTGTGTATTGTGATACTGATAATTTTCTTCTTCTGATACATGATCTTTGTCTGGACTTGATAGCTAATTCTGGCTTTACAAAACTGTGAACTGTGAAACAGTTATGTCTAGAAGAGAGCTTTTATTGAAGTGAACTTTTTAAAATCTTAATGAGTTTTCCATTAAAGTTTTAAAAATTCAGTTTTTAAATTATCAAATTATTCAGATTATGTAATTCATTTTAGTTAAATTTTGGCAGTTTTTTTTTTTTTTTTTTTTTATAGAGTATTTTGTCTGAATGTTTGTATGCAGTGTTCACAGAGGCCATTGTTGGATCCCCTGGAACTCGAGTTGTAGATAGTTGTGAGCTTTCATGTAGGTGCTGGAAACTGAACCCACATCTTCTGCAAGAGCATTTTTTTCTTAACCACCCACCACCCACTGAGCCATGTCTTTGGGGCCCCTTAAAGTAGTTTTTGTCTTTCAAGAACTGACTGTGGCCAGACTTTCTTTGGACTGCCAACTCCCGAATAATGACACAGAGACTTCTTATTAAGTGTGAAAGCTTGGCCTTAGCTTAGGCTTGTTTGTTTCCCAACTATCTCTTAAAAACTTAAACTAATGCCAGGCAGTGGTAGCACATGTCTTTAATTTCAGCACTTGGCAGGCAAAAGCACATGAATCTCTGTGTGTTCAAGACCAGCCTGGTCTACAAGAGCTAGTTGAGGATAGGCTCCAAAGCTACACAGAGAAACCCTGTCTTGAAAAAACAAAACCTTTAAGCTAACCCATTTATATTAATCCATGTTCTGTCACGTGGCTTGTTACCTCTTTATACCATAATGTCCGACTTTCTGTGCATCTTGATAGTGAATCCCCCTTCTCTCAGATTCTTCCTCCCTGAAGTTATGCTTATCCTCTCCAGCGTAGCTATTGGCCTTTCAGCTATTTATTAAACAATCAGAAGGTGCCTTAGGCAGGTGAGTGAAAACGGAGACATCTTCACACAGTGTGATCAAATATTCCACAACAAATTTAATCTGTGTATGGAGAGTATCTTCTTTATGCCCCCTTTTTTAAAATCATTTGAGTGTGCATTCAGACATGTTTCTCAGTACTTGTAGATGTCAGAAAACAACTTGGGAAGTGTGTTCTCTTTTCCACCCATGTAAGGTCTGAGGAGCAAACTCAGGTCACCATGCTTGTCAGCAAGTGCCTTTACTCTCTGAGCCATATCACTTGGTACCTTTTAATGTCTTGCAGGGTCTGTAGCAGTATCTTTTCTTCTAATACCTGAGTTAATCTAGAGTATCAGCTATTGCTCTAAAGAACCAGTTTCTGGTATTGATTTTTCCTCTGTGTTAATTTGTTTTGAATTTTAACACCCCATCTTTTTCATAACTTGCTTCTTTCTGCTCACGTAGATTTCACTTAGCCTCCCATCCCAGTTTCTTTTTTGGGGGGGGGGGGGAGTTCAAGACTGGGTTTCTCTGTGGCTTTGGAGGCTGTCCTGAAACTCGCTCTGTAGAGCATGCTGGTCTTAAACTCAGGGATTGACCTGCCTCGCCTCCCGAGTGCTAGGATTAAAGGCATATGCCACCTCTGCCCGGCACCCCAGTTTCTTAAAGTAGAAGTTACTGGCTCTTCAGACCAGCATAGTCAATAGTGCAGTGACTATAATGTGCTTTCTGAGCACTAATTTAGCACATTCCACACACAGTGCTCCTTCATTCACACTCAGTTTAAAATACTTTCTACTTTGAGGCTTATTCTTAGAACCACAAATTGTTTGGAAGTCTGCAGTTTCATTTTTCAGTTCTTAGAATTTTGCCTGTTACGTGCTTCTACTGCAAACATACTTTGTGTGTTTTAAGTGTTTTTGTTTTTTTTTTCTTTTTTTTTTAATCTTAGGACCTAAGATGTAGTATGTCTTGATGAAAGTTCCTTACTCACCTGAGGAAATTTGCATGCTGTTTTAGGATGCAGTGCTACTCAGCTTTATATCGTCACTAATTTTTCTAGTAATACCATGGATTTCCAAGAATAATGTCTAGCTTTACATTTGTTGAGGATTTCTCATTTCATTGCTGCATGTTTATTTAAGCAGTGATATATTTATTGAGTCTTTACCAGTTTTGACTGTTCCTAAGTGTTGAAGTGATGTAAATATTTCATTTGGTTTTGGAGTAGGAAAATTGTAAGCTTCACAGTTAACGCTGTGTAAGACATGACACATTTGTATGTTCATTAGGTTGTTTTGTAATGGCACATTTGAGAAAAATTACTTTGTTATTAAAAAAGAGGGGAAGTCCTATATTATTCTGCCATGATAGTACATAGAATATGGTTTGAATTGTGGGGATTATACAATTTCACGTGGATTGCAACATTTAGGGACAGAATATGCAGAATTGTAAAAGCAAAAGGCTTACACTTCCACATCACAGTCCATCAAGGCAGGATCAGGCACAAAGATCAAGGAGGAGTGCTGCTTACTGGCCTGCTCCTCAGGGTTTGCTCAGAGCTTTCTGGGTGTCGAACTCTTATGCATCAGTCAAGAAAATGCACCTTTGGCTTGCCCACAGGGCAATCTAGTGGAGAGACTTCCTCACAATGACTCTAGCTAGTATCAATCTGACAGAAAACTAGCCAGCACAGAGTGTTGTTCTATGCAGGGTTGCATCCATTGACAAGCTACCCATGTTCAATAAATAACCTCTCACACATCCTCAGGTGAGCAAACCTAATTAAGCTCAGTGACACACACAGGAAGTAGTAAGAGGGGTTTTACCAGGAAGAGGGGATGCAAAGAGTGTAATGGGAATGTGATTAAAAACTATTGTATACATGTATGAAACTCAAAAATAAAAAAAATTCAAATACAGAGTTCAAAATTATAGAATCTCTTCAATAATTACCACTTGATCCAATCAGGTTAACATAATAGCATCGTGGCATCCACACTGCTTGGTTTTATTTAATTAGGTAAGAGGGTTTGTACTAAACCTCAGATGTGTGAAAAGTAAATTTTTATGATGAATAATACCCATAATGGTGTATCTAAATAAACAACAACCCAATTAACAATAATGGGTAAACACAGCTTTTTAGTGTACATTTAACAAACATATTTATCCTGTGGTGTTTTATAAAAAATTAGAAAGTGATTTGTCAGGCAGTGGCAGCACACATCTTTAATCCCAGCACTCAGGAGGCAGAGGCAGGGGGATCTCTGAGTTCAAGGTCAACCTGGTCTACACAGTGAGTTCCAGGACTTCCAAGGCTATACAGAGAAACCATGTCTTGAAAGGAGGAGGAGGATCCACCAGTCTCAGCCTTCCCAGGGCTACCATGCCCAGCTTAATATCTGCACTGTTTTCTCTCTGCTTCTGGGCATCTTACTTTAGTAAAATTAATATCCAATATAAAGAAAGCTTATTTTATAATGATATTGCCAAAATACTTACAAAAGAAACAAAAATGCCCAGGGAAGGATTACATTTCAATAACTTTATTGAAAGGTATATTCCTTAGTTTAAAACATAATGGTAGTTGATTAGATTACTTCTGTCCACTCAAAATCAACATGGTTTCCAAATTGAAGCATATCAGCCTTTAGGAAGAACTGAAAAGCTATTCATGAAACATGGTTTACAAAGGTTAAGGATAAAATACTCTAGTTCTTTGGTTTATTTTTCACTGGTCATTATCCATTACCTATCAAAATGGTTACAGCCACTCTGGGTGGATGCAGGCTGCACACTGCGCTAAGGAGCAGCCTACAGTTTAACAGTGTAAATCTTACATTCAAGGTCAGCACTGAGAATCTGAACACAACCTTGGTGGTCTTATACAGGTGCCTCCTTACTTCCCTTAAGACACAGTAGACGTTCTGCAAATTACTCTCTTTTAAAACAAAATGCATTAGAAGCAGTGACAGTTTTATAAAAACTTCTGGAGTGCTTTATCAAGCCTGAACTAAGTTTAATGCAATAAATAAGTTTTCAGGGTGATAATTCATCCAGTTATTAATGTTTTCTCAAATGGGACTAGATTGAAGCAGCACTTCTGTAGAATTTTTTTTATTATGGATAAAAACCATTCTCTAAAAGAAATATTAAAGGTAACAAAGTTACAAAACTTGTGAGGTCTGCTTTATATAAAACACCCACAAGTTTAAGTGGAATTCTCATATAGCAATAAAAATCCCATCTCTAAATTAGCAATTACTTGGTTATGGGTGCCAAGAAACCATTTACTGCTTAAATTACCCCTTATAATACCTTAAAAGTGCATTTGTGAAGTGTTGGTTTTGATGTAAACCTTGTAATTTAAATTTTGAGATTTAAATTAAGTAGTTTACCATTTTCAATACCACCTAAGTATATATTGATCCAATCTAGGAAGTTAGATCAATGAAGGTTCACAGTTTTATTTCACATTTATGTCTTTAGTCTTGATTTGAATGTTTCATGGGGGAATTCAAATCAAGCGTAGCTCTACCAAGCCTGGAATCAGTTTTCCCAACACTGAGACCATTCTGCTAATGTGGTGATGTGCTGAGGTTTTCATAGCTTAAATCCTGTACCACAGGAAACTCAACGGTCAGAGTGGCAGAGAAAGACTTCAGGAACAGTTTTTGTTGCTTCTGCAATCCTACTGCCTAAGCAAACAACAGACCCAGTTTAACAGAAATCTGCCTTCATACTGTAAGCTGCTAAAGGTGCACTGATATGTAAGATGCATGATCATATATTTTTTGCAGGGACAGGGAGGGTGTAAGGCACATGCATGTCAGAGAAGAACTTGGGGGAGTTGGCTTTCTCCTTCCATCATGTGGGTACTAGGGAAAGAAGTCAGGTTGTTAAGACTTGGAGGCAAGTACCCTTACCTGCTGAACCATCTTCCCAGCAAAATTTACTTTTTTGGGGGTGGGAGAGGTTAGTTATTTTCTTATTTTGGTGTTTTTGAGGCAAGGTTTCCCTATTGTAGGTCTCTGGCTGTCCTGGAACTCACTGTGTAGACCAGGCTGCCCTTGAACTCATAGAGGTCCACCTGCACCATAACGCCTGGCAACATTTAGTTCTATGATTAAGAAATTTAGATGGCAAAGTGCATATGTATCAGGGACCACATTTATATATTTTAAGTATATAATTACTGTGTAATGGACTAACTGCTTAGAGATAAAGTACTAAATATAGAATTGAGACACCCAAACAATTTCCAGAAACCTAACGTGGGGACTATTTGTCCTATATTATTTTGTTCTTTTTCTTGTTTTTTTTTTTTTTATTAATTTCCTGTTACATTCCACCTATATTACTTTGAAAGTACATCACCCATGTGCAAACTACATTTTCTTAATCAACCAGCACATTTAAATTTGTTCATATATGGGTCAAACTTTTTGTTTCATTCTTCTGCTTGGGTTTATGTAACTTTAAATAAGCTACAGTGATATAATATGTAATTTAAAGAAATACTATTTCACCAACTACTTTTTTGTTTGTTTTTTTGGGTTTTTTTTGTTGTTGTTGTTGTTGTTTTGTTTTGTTTTTGAGACAGGGCTTCTCTGTGTAACAGTCCGAGTTGTCCTGGAACACGCTCTGTAGATCAGGTTGGTCTTGACCTCAGAGATCTGCCTGCCTCTGCCTCCCAAGTGCTGGGATCAAAGACATGTGCCACCAGTGTCCAGCCTCATTAACTGCTTGTAAGTTTTCGGGTTGGAGGATTCTCTTTCCTAAGCTAATAATTTGACTAAGCAAGTGTTAACACATATTTAGAGACTTGCTAAGTCCTGTCTCTGGAGACTGCTGTTCGTTGTCCACAGGAAATATCGTCCAGTATTCACTAACTAGATCAACACAGTCACTTTTCCCTTTACTACTTCAATCCCATACTATTTATATTGAAGATGGTATTTCAATTCTTTAGTTGTAGGAGAAAATTACCATACTGGCAAATTTTCTGTACACAGAGAATAACAATTAGATTTACCAACTAGGAAACCGTTTCAGGAATTGTTGGGAGGTGAGTTATTCTGTAATAACTATGCTTCAGTTGCCGTGCGGTGCGTCCAGACACAATCCATTTCAACTTCTGAACATTTGGTTTGGAACACTTGTTTGATGAATATTCAGTTAAACACTTGGATACCAGCTCTTGCCAGAAGGTCAAATCTCTGCCACTTATCTGTACATAAATAAAAAATTATTAAAAGCCCCACTGTATGTATTGTAATAAATATAATTCCACTGATGTGTTTCCTCATCCAAAGAGAATCAGGGGAGAGCCACTTAAGCTTCAAATCAATATATGGTATCTTATTTTACTTTAGGAGTACAGTGGATACATTTCTATTGTAGCTAGCTAAGGGGATGGATGCTATAACTTTGACATACCTTGGAATGTTTTTGAATACATTCGATTCCTTCTGTTAACTCTACATACTTTAATGCTTGGATCTCCAAAGCAATGATAGACAAGGCCAACACAGAAGGCTGAAAAAGAGAAATATAAAGTGAACGTCAACCATAAAAATAGGTCTCTGTAACTACACTTAATCTTATAAAATATTTACCTTTGCCTTAGAAAATATGATCCTGCAGTGGCATGCCTTAAGTTGGGCTTCTAGTCTTTCAAAATTAAGATAGTTTCTCCTTTGAAAAGAAAATGGGATTGAGTTTATGTAGACAGTATTATATCTAGTTGGCAGACAGTTTTAGAAGTGTATTAAAGTCAGTTTTAAAAATGAAACTCATACACTCAGAAATTATTTGAAGAAAAGGAATTTTTCTTCTGTCAGTGATAGGAACTTCTTAAAACATGAGTCTTAAATTATTCTGGTACAAAAAAATCATTAACTGAACAGTAGTATACCAAAAATAAGATTTTATTTCAATTGAAATTTCTGCATCTTTTCACAGTTTCATTAGATGTTCCTAGGTTCTATAAAGTTTAAATATCCTTTAATCTTAAGGAACCTTCAGTAAACTGTTGACAACTGTCTTTTCAAGTCTGTTAAGCAACAATGTCCAAGGGATCACAGGTGTCATACTCTTATTTTGGTAAGAATTCTAAGAACATGCCAACTTTATGCAACAGCCAAACAGTATCCTTTTGATTTCCAAACCAAAGTTCACATACCTTTCAAATGGCAAGCTCTCTTGAATGAGTGAGTAATAAATTTGCAGAAATTGAAAGGCAGTAGTAGCTTTGACTTTCCAACACACTTTCTCCAACACAATCTTTTCCATTCTCATCAAGTCCGAAACTGTAAACCTATATTGGCTTATTCGGATCAAATCAGTTGCCAATGGGACATTCCTTTCCTCTTCTATTGATTTTACAGCCAAATAAAAGCAGCTCAGTCCAACACACCCAAGATGCTTCGCCTGTACCTGCAAACACAAACAACAGGAGTATGTCTTTACCATGTGGCAATAAATAGAACAGAAAGGGAAATCTAGGACTCAGAGCCACCACTATGAAAGTATATCTTCAACAAATAGCTACAATGGATATAACATCTACCCTACTTGGACAGATGCCTGTCAGTCTGACTTATCCTACTTGAAATCAGTGAGTTAGTGGATAGGGAAGACAGCTTCAGTTTTAACAGTTAAACTCTGAAAGCCATATAAGTAGTTTATCAGTTACCGGAGAATAACTATAGATGATCTTCCTTCAGACAACAAACATTTCCTTTTCTGTAGCATGCAAACTGAAGCTGGAAATGCCAAATGGCTACAGGAATTAGCCTAATTCTTAACCACAACCTAACATTCTGACTTTAACAAACATCTTTACATCTATGACCATGTGTAAATGAATGGAAACACAGTCTATTAAGAAAGGTTCTGATTAGGGCTAGTGAGATGGCTCAGTAGATAAGGATGCTAGTCACCAAGTCTGATGACTTGAGTTCAGTCCCCAGAACCCAATTCCTGCAGTGATCCTTACCTCCACATAGGATGTAGCATGAATGTACCCATGAGTGTACATACGCAAACATACATATATATATATGTGTGTATATATATATATAGTTTTTTTTTTAAGAAATATTTCTACTTTTTAAAAAATAAATTTAGTTTTTGAAACGGTCTCATTGAGTAGCTTTGGCTGGCTTAGAACTCCCTGGCCTCAAACTAACAGATCTGCCTGTCTCTGATTTCCAAGTGCTAGGGCTAAAGGTGCGAGTCATTATGTCAGGACCTTAATTTTTATTATTTTATTATTACCATGTATGTGTGTGTGCGTGCACATGTGCGCATCTGTGTGTAAGGAGAAGAGGATGTGAGGGCATGTATGTGCCACGGTACATGTGTGATGGTCAGAGAAAACCTTTTGGGAGTTAGTTCCCACTTTTCACTGTGATTATCTGAGGCATGTGTACCTGGTGAACCATTTTGCTGGCTCAAGAAAGGTTTCTAAGTATAGCCAGATTTTCTACTAGAGTGCTACAATTAATGGCTTGATGTTAGACAATTTTCTACTTCTGTATACAGCTAGTAAGTGATGTATTACTACTCTTGATTATGAGAAAGCATTGCCACATTTGAAAATGGCTTTTGAATATCAGCTCTTTTGACAGCTATTTTTTTTATTAGTATTGATTTTAATGTGTATTCATGTGTATATGTGTGATGTTTGCTACATTTGGGCAGGTGCTAGAGGAAGCCAGAAGGCATTAGAGCACAACTGCCACCTGGGTGCTTGGAAGTGAACTCGGGTTCTCTGGAAGACCAGCAAGCACTTCTAATCCTGAGCCATCTCCAGCCCACTAAAATTTGATCTCTTAAACACATGCTGAGCAACATTTGAAAAGGGATATTATAGCTTGAACATACCTTCATTTTAGACAAGAATCTGTCCAGTAAATTCACAGCTAGGGAAAACGTCTCTGTGTCGAAGCCAAAGAACTGAGTTAGACTAAGTAGATCTTTTACTTCAAAGTCCCTGAGCCTTGCAGTCATTCTGAGGCCATTGTCATGTGCAGACTCAATTAGTTTCAAGCCGCAGACCTTTGGCTGACATCTAGACTCCTGTTCCAACAGGGTGTTCAGCTGGTGTAGCAGTTTCTGAGAGTCAGTTGTCAGTACCTCTATCATCTATATATAGAACAAACCCAGAAAAGACTGTGAGCGCCCCTTGCAGCCGGTCCATCTTTGCATTGTGTCAAGAAGAGCTTTATAATGCATGATTTCCCCTCCTCCACTAAGTCTAAAACATTGCAAAGGGCTCTGCGTTAATTTTTACCTTCTCCCAGTTCATCACATTTCTAAATTGTGAATTTGAACAGGACGAACTATGCTTAAAAAAAAAAAAGAAATACTTTGCCAGCTTCAGTAAAGACTTACTCAATGCCGCTACAAACAGATGCTGCCGTTCAAGGCACCCAAACCAAAGAGTCAAAATGACAGTACATATATACTCTGAATTATATATTAACAACGTGGATGTTCTTAGTTCTTTATCTGTGAAATAAGATCATTACCTAAGCTCATTGATTGTGTGGGTTAAATGGAGTCATACTAACCGCTTAGCACATAAATAGGTGCTTAATTAATGACGGATAATGAGGTTATTTCTACATCTGTGAGATGAGGATAGCAACATCTGTTTCTTGGGACGGATGTGAATAACACACAATATGACTCAATGTGGCGCGGTGCTTAATAGTTTAACGTCATTTAAAGACCAAAAGAAAAAGTTAGGAGAAGCTGAGAATCGCACTGGTTGGTGTAAGCACTTCCCTTGCATCCTGGTCACAAGCTGAGTCCTGGATACAGAGGATGACTCTTGTTAATTTAAGGACAGAAGAGCTGAGAGTCGCCCTGGCGAGGAACCACTAAGTTCAGGAGTGCAAGTTGGAACTGGGAGGCATGACACAGGAACATCCCAGGACGAACGCTCTGGTTGCGCCTCTACAGGGGCAGACTAGCCCGGACTTGCACAGCAAACCCCCACCCCACCCCAGGAGCTTCAACCCAGGTTCCCTCTCACCTTGACAGCCACAGCTCCTCCGCGGTGGTCACCACCCTCCCCGGGCCTGCTCTCAGCTCGCCCTACGTCCCCGATCCGAGAGGCCGACGAGGGGAACGGACTCACGGGCGGGCAAGCGAGCAGAGGCCCGGGGAGGAGCGGGCGTCCCGGGTGGAGGGTCCCGCAGCGCCCTGAGTTAGCGGGCGTTCCTGGGGGTCAGCACGCAGCGAAAGAGCTGCTCCCGGCAGCTGGGAGACAGGCCGGGGCTCGCGGGGGGCGCATCTTAGCCGCTGATTGGTGCGATCCTTTTGATGGATGGCTTCAGAGAAAGGTCGGCCAATCAGCGTACACTTGCCATTGTCCAGACTCCAATTCTCCGCCCCCTTGGTGCCACTCCCGGATCTCTCAGTCTCTCGTTCGTATTGGAGCATTTCCGTCCTGCCATGAGCTGCGGAACTGAACGCTAGGTGCCAAGGCTTGCCCGGGCAGGTCTGGCTGCTAGAAGCCAGAGTGGCCTGGGTAGCGTTCCAGAATCTAATGGGAGGGTTTTTGTTTGTTTGTTCTCTGCAGTTTAGCAGTTCTGTAGTGGTTCAGCCCCCTTCTTTCTAAAAACACAATGACAAGTTAAAAAGAAGTAAAAGGCTTGTTTTCATTGTCTTTACAGATAAAAGAGACTATAGACGTCTCTGTAGATAGACTGCTCTGTTTATTGCATTCCTGAGCGTTCTTTTGGGGTTTTGGAAATCAGTTGATTTTTTTTTTTTTTTTTTTTTTTTTTTACTTATTTTGCTTCTTGTAAAACCTATTACAGTGAGATTAGACTATGTAGTGTTTCTTGGTCCTCTGCTAAGGTCCAGGATTTGTTTTTTAAAACAAATTTAAATGACAAACTTGATAGAGTGCCCTCATGCAACCACCAGAGGCCAAAAATAAAGTGTGTAACACAGACAACAGCAAGAGCAGTACATGGAAAATTCAACTGCAGGGAGTGGGCTGTCAGGCTCCAGAGTAGGGTGTGAAGGAATATTACTCTCTGTGTTCTTGTGGACTTAATCTCCATAAACAAGCCTTTTCTCTGCCATGTTAATGGGAAAACAATTATCTCTCTTGTTTATAACTTATTATTATAACTGTCACTTTTTTCTTCCTGGTTTAGAAGGGCGTGCCCTCAGGAGCAAGTGTGGCAGTTAGCTCTTAGGGATAGCCCAGGGTGCAGAACTTCAGTGGCTTTCCTGAAAATAACAAAAGGCAAGGCCAAGCCAGCTGCCCACCCCTAAAGATTATAAACTAGATACAAGGTAGGTTTGTTTTTGTTTTGAGACAGGGCCTCTATATAGTGCTGGCAGTCCTGGAACTTTATATGTAGACCAGGCTTCTGTGGTACTGGGGTTAAAGATGTATACAATCACACCGGACCTTTTTCTTTCATTTAAAAAAAAAAAAAAAAAAAAGAAAAAAGAAAAAGAAAAAGTTTTATTTTGTTTTTAAAAATTATGCCTCTCCACAGGTTTTGCTGGCATGCTCCTTTAATCCCAGCACTCAGGAGGCAGAGGCAAGAGGATATCTGTGAGTTCGAGACCAGCCTGGTCTACAAGGGCTAGTTCCAGGACAGGCTCCAAAGCCACAGAGAAACCCTGTCTTGAAAAACAAAAAAACAAAACAAAACAAAAAAAAAGTATGTCTTTCTTGGTGAGGGATGGTCTTCTGTATATATGTTTCTCTTATTGGTTGATGAATAAAACACTGACTGGCCAGTAGCCAGGCAGAAAGTATAGGCAGGCTACCAGACAAAGAGAATTCTGGGAAGGGGAAGCAAGAAAAAAAAAAAAAAAAAAAAAAGCAGCCTGGGAAACTAGTTACAGGAAGGTAGGATGTGGGCATTCTCTAGTAAAATAAGACTATAAGACCATGTAGAAATACATTGTTTAATAGTTATGGGTTAATGAGAGAGAGAGAAAGAGGAGAGAGAGAAGAGAGAGAGAGAAAGAGGGAGAGAGCGCTAGCAAATAAGAAGGCTGAGCCACTGGCCAAACAGTTTTTAATTAATATAAGTTTTTATGTGTTTATTTGGGGCTGAAGGGCGGTGGGACCAGGCAGAAAAGAAACTCGGGCATCTCTCTGTAAACCTCTCTCTGTCTCTCTCTCTGTCCCTCTCTCTCTCTCTTGTGTGTGTGTGTGTGTGTGTGTGTGTGTGTGTGTGTGTGTATGGAATGGATTTGAAGTTTCAGGCAGCTGGAGTTGCCCACTATGGGTGCTGAGAACCTAATTCACCTGAATTCCTGGTACTTAAATCTGCAAAGGCCATGAGTGCTCTAACCCATGAGCCACCTCTCCAGTCTTTATTTTGGGTTTTCAGAAGTAGACAGTAAAAAATACCTTAAACATAGAAAACCAGGAGGATTAAATAATAGAAATCATGTGGTAAATGGTAGCCTTTCTTCTTATGTTTATTTTTAAATGCCGTATGTAAATAGTTGGTCCTGTTTATTCTGCTGTCAGCCTTTTCAGCCTAGCCTAGAAATGAGATCTGATTACTAGAATTGGTTAACACTAATAAAAATTTTTAAACTTCATCTACTACTTTCTACATCTTACATTTAAATTTTCCATTGAGAACTCTTGGCAATATGTTATCATATGTTAAAAAATATTTTCTTCAAGAATCCTGTTTTTTCTCTTTATTCAAATGTTTACATAAAAACATTTCACTGGCATTGAAGAAACAAATATAAATCAAATCTAATAGACATTCTTTGCATATTTTTTTCTATTTCAACTAAAAAACCTCACTGTTTTCATTTTTAATTATGAATATATGTGTGGGTTTGTGCAGTGGGGAAAGTGGAGATCAGGTGAGTCGAGCTATCCAACATGGGTGCTCTTAACTTTGGACACATCTTTCCAGCCCTCTGTTGCAATTTTTAAATATAATATTTCATATACATATAGTATATCACAGCTTTACAAAATGGCCTCTCTAGGCCTCCATTCAGGGACATCATTGTCACATGCCTATGCTCTCAACTTTCTTTAGGCACTGAAGCAGATTCTATAACCCATTTCTTCTGTCCTTAATTTGGCTGAAGCTGCCAGGTTCTGCTGCTTGCTGGGGCTGAACATGGCCCTCTCATTCAATTAAATCTTTGACAGCTTTCTGTTTTGCATAGTTTTCTTCACTAACTAACCTTGGCTATTCTTTGATTTTTGCTCTATACACCAGGCTGGCCTCAAACTCTGAAATCCAACAGCTTCTGCCTTCTGAGTGCTAGGACTAAAGGTGTGCATCACCATAAACTACTCTAAGCTTTTCTTTAATTCCTTCCCACAAGTGGGAAATTTAGCTGGATGAATCTCTCCCTGAAGTCACCACTCCCTTTACTTGAACATAGGATTTAACTTCGTTCCACTCTCTTGTGCTCTTTTTCTCCTCAAATATTTTTCCTTGCTCAGTTTGCTCCTTTTCGTTATACAATTTCACCAGAGTTAACACTAATAACCACACAACAGACTCTATACTAGGCTGTTTTGAGATTTCCTCTGCCAACATAATTAATCCAAAGTTCTTCACTTTAGCTTCAGGTAAACTCTTCAGGCAAGGGCAAAAGGCAGCCACTTCACCAAGAACGTTCTCTAGGCAACACACTGTAACCTCTTGAACAAGCCCCCCACAGTTCATCAAACCTCACTCAACACCACTGTCTTCCATGGTGGTGTTGACCCACTAGTATGACCCAGTAAGCAGCATTTAATACATTCCCCTGCTTTTCTGACCCAAATTCCCCAAATCCAAATTACTTCAAACAAAAGTATGGCCAGGCCTATCACTGCAATGACACAGTCCCTGGTACCAACTTGTGTCTTAATCAAGGTTTCTATTGCTGAGAAGTGACACCATGACCATGGCAACTCCCCCTCCACCCTCCAGGGTTTTTCTGTGTAGCTTTGGAGCCTTTTCTGGAACTCACTCTGTAGACCATGCTGGCCTCAAACTCACATAGATCTGACTGCCTCTGCTGTGCAAACACTGGGATTAAAGGCATTCACCACCACTGCCTGGCTCATGGCAACTCTTATATGGAAAACATTTCATTGGGGTGGCTCGGTTACACTTTCACTCCACTCCATTATCGTCATGAGAAGAACATGGTGGTGTGCAGGAGGACATTGTACTGGCTAAGCAGGTGAGAATCCTACATCTTTCAGGCAACAGAAAGTCGACTGAGACACTGGGCAGTATCCTGAGCATAGGAAACCTCAAAGCTTGCACCCACAGTGACACACTTCAACAAAGCCATAGCTCTAATAGTACCATTCCCTATGAGATTATGAGGGCCAATTACATTGAAACTATCACACCCTCATTTGAGTAATTTAAAAAGAACTGCAGAATTTAAAACAAGCAATTATCTACTCTTGTAAAAGAAAGAAAACAAGACAGTCATTAAAATTTTATTTTTAAGAATGTTATATTTGATAAGTATTTTGAACCTCAAGCTCTGGGTTTCTCCAACGATACAATAAGCCAAATCAAGCCAAAATGATAAGAACAGGTTTAATTTGAACAAAGGAACTCCCAGGTGGTACTTGGGAAAAAGAAAGCAGGAGAGAAATAATGTTTTGGGTCTAGGGACTGGGTCTTAAATACCCTGAGGTGAAATCATGAGTAGCTCTGGAGGAGGAGCTGACTCATGGTGGACTTTCTGAGAGGGCAGGGTTTGGAACAGGAGGAGTGGGCCCAGTTCTTAGCAGAACATCTGGATGGGGTTTGGGATATTTATCATGAGTTCTTATCAGGAAGTTTTCAAATGTCTGACTTTTAGAATGTTAACTTGTCTCAGTCATACACGCCCGCGCGCACGCGCGCATACACACACACACACACACACACACACACACACACACAAGACAGGCTCTCTACTCTCTATTATGTATCTCCATCTGTCCTAGAACTGTTATATAGACCAAGCTGGCCTCAAACTCACAGACATCTACTTGCCTCTTAACACCCCCACCCACTCCATGCTGGCATTAAAGGTATGTACCACCCCCACCCCAATGATACATTTAATTCCCAGCCTCCTAGTTGTTTCTCAATGAACAGTTAAATGCAAGTCAGAAAAATGATGGTGATGCAGTGTAAGACTCCAGTCACTAACAGGAAGATTTAATCATATTGTCTATTGTAGTCTGAACACATGTCCTTGAACAACAGGAATTATAGCAAATAGGTCTGACAGTGATGGTTCCTGTGATGGGTAGTGATAGTTGT